ATAGAAAGAGGGGTCTAACAACCAAAATCCACACTCTGCTATGAGGGTTCGACATGAAAGAGACCACACAAGTATGTTGGCATGCTGGGAAAGGATTCTCCCAATTTTGCGCAATGCTGCCTGAGAGAGGGAGTGAGAGAGATCAAATGGTAGAATTACATGTTGGGGCGGGCTGCTTCGTTCTGGATCTCATGGCTGGTGGTGGGAAGGATGGATGATAGCAGCGGTGGAGTATGGTTCAGCTGTAGCAACGCCAGAGGAAGCAGAGTTCTGGTTCGGCGTCGTTTTCGCGATGTCAGAGACGGATTGAGATGGTGGTTCGATCGCTTCAGCTGACGTCAATGGTCCACGAACCTCTGCCGGCGCTGAGGAGTGCGATCTCGTCGTTGTGTCGACGTGCATCGTCTGAAGGGCTTGCGCATCGTTTCGCGTGGTTGTGTCGAGAAGCATGCTCGACTCGATGTCCGTACTTGCTACAGCCTCCGCTACGATCCCATCCTTCCCGTCGTGTGCACCGGCCTCAGCTGGAGTAGAAGGTGCAGGGGCTGCAATGGTGGAAGTCGACGCAGCCGCATCGACTGTGTCGACAGTGTTGATGTCCAAGGTCTGCTCGACGGGTTCCGATTTGACCTGGATCGCAGGTATTGGCTCGTCCGTCTCTTTGGCCATCACTTCCACCTTCACCGTCGTGCTTGAGTCCGGCAAGCTTTCCTCCACCGGCTCTGCTTTCACCGCAATCGGCTCATCCGCCGCTGCTTTCGGCTCCTCTAACTTCGACTCACTCTGTAGATCTTCGACCTTGACACTCTCGTCTTTCACTCGCTCCTGCGGTTCTTCCCCCTTGACAGGTCCCTCCTTCTGCTGACTCAGCTCCATCAGCTGCGGGTGCTGCTGAACCAGGCTCCTGCACAACAGCACCTTATCTATCCTCTCGAACAACCTCTCCTCTTCCGCACTCATCTCCCTCTCCTCCTTTCCTTTTCGGGTCGTCTGCCTCCACGGTCTGATCTCTCCCGCAAAACTTTGCAGCGTCATCTTCTCCACCGTCCCGACCATCCTTTCCAACCCTTGCGCTTTGATCATGACTGCTGCTAGTTGTGCTTCTTTCACCTCTGCTTTGCTCCTCCGCCTCTCGATCATCGCGGCGTCACCGTATTCTAACACGTCTAAGGCTGTACTCAGCTGCAACGATGCGAAGAACCAATTTACGAAAAGAGAGTGAGAGAACTCTCTGACCTCGAAGATCGTTCTTCCAGGGAACAGGAGTGAGATCCAGAAGGGTGGTTCGGGGGAGATCAAGAGACACAGTTCGAACGCGAGAAGGGAGAAGAGCGTGGAGAGTCTCCAGAAGGAAATCCCGTCGTTCCGACCATTAATCCAGCCGACGGTGGCATAGAGCACAGGGTTGATGGTGTAGAACGAGACGAGTTGCAGCAGACCGTGGTGGAGATAGTCACGGGTGGTGGATTGGGTGCCAGTCCAGGTGGTGATAGATGGACCGAAGCGATCGTATGCGAAACGAAGTGTTGGGTTGGAGAGCACATCGTGCGCCTGACGTAGCGCGATGAAGATCGTCTCGTCAGTTGTAGAGGAAATTTTGTCGGGATGGTAGAGTCTTGCCAGGGAGCGAAAGGATCGGCGTATCCCTTCCGCATCGACATCGGTGGGCAGCGAGAGTAGAGTGTAGAAGTTGGGTGGGGTGGAGAGCGTGGACTGTACGAGTTGGTATATGAGGGTGGAGATGATGATGATGGTTCGAGAGAGCTGGACGTGCGTGTTGCGGAGGTGAGGAGAGGTGGGAGGTGGGGGTCGGAGGATGGAAAGCGAGTAGAGGAGGTTGAGGAGGAGGGTGGAACCGAACGAGGGGAACCACCACCAGGTGAGGAGCGAGCCGAGTTGCAGCAGATCTGCTTTCATGGTCGATAGAAGCGGTGTCTGCTCATCAGTGATGAAGCGAACATTCCGATGAGCGGGGCGATGGTGTTGTGTGTGTGTTGAGAGTGGATGATTGTTGAGGACAAGGTGTTGTTCTCCGTGTCACTTCGAATGAGTCGCGCAACACGCAAGTTGAATTAGATAATCATGACATTGCCTCCATCAAACGAGCGTTTTTCATTTCTGAGATTTTTTTGCTTCAGAAAGTGCAGTTTCTTCCAAAAGAAGGGTCCTTCGAAATGACACTCTCTGCTCGGCTTCATCCTTCCTTTGCCTCACACCCATCCCATCGTCCCTGTCTGAATCGGGATCAGAGGCACCATCGAACAATGCCACCGAAACGCAAAGCACCCTCATCTGCTGCTGGCGGAAGCAGCAGCAGCAGAAAATCCACCAAATCACGCAAACCTCAACCGCAACGCAAGGCACCCAAAATTGCCTCCCCCTTGGACATGTTCATCCGTCGATCCGACGACGAAGCCGATTCCGACGACGACGACACACCCACTCCTCTCCAACAGCAACTCGTGACTCGAAGCGCTCAAGACGAGTACGAGCCCGAATCCGACGAAGCATCACACATCTCTTCCGGTGAGGAGCAAGAGGATAGCGAAGAAGAACATGTGCCCCGAGTCAAGACTGTTGCAGCGACAAATCTGGCGTTCCTGGAGGGACTTGATAAGAACAAGTCGCTCGCAGTGTCGCAGAAGGATGCGAAGCAGAAGGCGAAGGAGTTGAAGAGGAGCGATAGGAGGGAGTTTGAGGAAGAGCGGAGGAGGAGAGGTGCCGAGGAGAAGGAGAGGTTGAAGAAGGCCTTGGAAGAGTTTGAGGAGGAAGAAGATGAGTTTTCGGACGAGGACTTTTCGGAGGACGACGAGGAAGACGATATGGCGAGAATCGGAAGGAAGCAGAATTACCAAGAGTATAGTGATGTTTCCGAGGGAGAGGAGGTGGGTGGTTCATCGGACGAAGAAACCGCGCCGGTGAAGAAGACCATCAAGACCACGAAGAGGAAAGCTGCCGATGAGGAGGAGGATGCGGAAGCGGTGTACATGGCACGGTTGGGGAAGAGGAAGGCGAGGGAGCAGTACGAGGGAGAGTTGGAAAGGCAGAAGAGGGTGAACGCCAAGTTGCCCGTCAGAAAGCTCGATGGAGAGGTATCGGAGGATGACGATTTGGATAGCAGTGACCAGGACCTCGACGACGACGATCAAGAGCAAGATGAGTTCCGACAGGACTCCGAGCCGGAAGGCCTAGGCTCGTCAGACGAAGACGATCTGTCCACAAAACCATCCCAACGATCCAGTCGAGCAGTCCACGCTCCGCTGCCCACCAATACCGCCTCCGATCCAGCCTCGGACCTGCCCGTCACCACGGCCACCCCAACCACGCTCTCCTCCATCACCCACTCCTCTCGCTTCAACCTCACCGCCCCCTACGAAATCCTCCTCACCTCGCACCCCTGTCGCCTGCCCCCACCTCCCGCCTCCACCTCCACCAAATCTTCCCGCTCCTACACCCGCACCGTCCTGCAACCCGCCGCGCAACGAACGCTCCTCCTCGCGCGCAACCAGATCGCCTCGCTCGCCTCCCAGATCATCTCCGACCCGGAGGTCAACCTCGGTCTGCTCCGACGTCTCTCGGTCTTTGCCTCCGCGACCGTCAGCGCCCCACCCGAGAAGATACCCGAGATTCGTCTCGAGCAATCCGCTGCCAAAGCCGAGGGTCGACCGCATACTGCGCGACCAACTTCGATTCCGGTGCCGGTGGGGGTGAGGCAGATGGCGATGCTGTCGATGCTGGCGGTGTTCCTGGATGTACTGCCGGGTTACAGGATCAGGAGCTTGACGGAGAAAGAGAGGGAGGAGAAGGTCGGGCAGGAGGTGGCGAGACGCAGGGAGTTCGAGAGCGGACTGGTGGAGGTGTACAAGGCGTTTTTGCAGATGTGCGAGGCCGAGATCAAGACTTCTTCCGCTCCCGGGACAAAGACCGGGTCGACGGTGTTGGAAGTAGCTGCGATTAAGGTGTTCACCACCCTCGCTACGCGTGCGGTGCACTTCAACTTCCGCACCAACATCCTCGGCGTCGTTGTCGCAAGAATGTCCCGCCGTACGTGGAAGGCGGAAGAGGAGGATTGCTACCAAGCCATCTGCACGGTCGTCAAGGAAGACCTGACGGGGGAAGTCGGGCTGGAAGTGGTACGGTTGATCCACCGGATGACCAAGGAGAGGCGGTACAAGGTGAACAGCAGGGTGTTGGATGTGTTGCTGTTCCTGCGCTTGAAGGATGAACTGGGAAACAAGCGGTCCAGCACGACCACGTCTACGGATCCGGACGCGGAGGCGGAGAAGGAGAGGAGAGAGTACGCGGAGCGCAAGGCGCAAATGAAGGCACGCGAAGGCAAAGGGAAAAAGGGTGGAGGCAAAGGTGTCACCTCGAAAGAAGTTCGAAAGGGTCTCGCAACGCATCTCAGCAAGAAGCAGGTCAAGAAGCAGCGCCAACTGCGCGAGATCGAGGACGAGATGAAGGAGGCAGAGGCGACGGTGGATCTGGCCGAGAGGGAGAGGAACCAGACCGAGACGTTGAAGCTCGTCTTTGTGCTGTACTTCACCGTGCTCAAGCGGGAGGTGGGGGAGGTGGGGTTGGGTGTGCTGGAGAGTACGTTGAAGGGGTTGAGTATGTACGCGCACCGGGTGAATGTGGATTTCTTCCGGGATCTGTTGGCGGTGCTGAAGAAGCACGTTGCGGTCAACGCTGCGTTGTTGGAGGAGGAATCTGGAGCGATGGAAAGCGATGCGGAGGGATCGGATGACGACGATGACGAAGCGGATAACGTGCTACTGGATCAAACAACGCTCACCCGCACCATCCGCCACATCATCCTCGCGCTCAAGACGATCTTCGACCTCTTCCTCGGTCAGATCGAAGGCTCCATCCTCAACCTCGACCTTACCGATGTCCTCTCGCACTTCTACTACACGCTGTTCCACCTTCCGTTCGTATCCGAATCGCACCTGCTCGTCACCGCTTCGTCGGCGTCGATCGTCGATCTGGCGCTCGACTCGCTCTACTCGATCCTCATCAAGTCCCGCACGCGCTTCTCGCCGCACATCCTGGCTGCGTTCGCCAAACGTCTCGCCATCGTCACGCTGCACCTCCCCGTCAGCTCGACGTCCGGTCCGCGCAAGGTTTTGGGGTTGATCGCCCACCTGCTGACGAAACAGTCGACCTCGGCGAGCGCAGATAGCCAGCTGGCACTGCTGGATCTGGAAGACAGAAGTCGAAACGGACACTACCAGGCCTTGGGCAAGAACCTCGCTACAAGTGGAGTGTTGGAGAGCGGTCAGACGGTGCTGTGGGAGCTGTGCCAGCTGACGAGGATGGGGAGCGACGAGTTGGGAGAGGAAGCGGAACGCGTTTGGAGGCTGAAGGATTCCCAGCAGTAGATGCAGCGCACAAAGGACCCTATGTCACAGGATTCATCGCAGATCAAACTGGTGGAAGCCTCAATAGAACATCACCCACACGAGCGCCCGAGTCTGGTCAGATAGCCTTGTGATAGCTGTGCAGTCAACAAGTCTACAAGACAAAGTGGAACGCCGTTTGGAGGTCGAAGAATTCCCAATCAGTAGATGCATACTTCTGTACGTCGCAGATAAAACGAGAAGCTCTCAATGGACGATTCAACCCACGCTTGATACTTGGACCTGTTCGAACCGGGTCAGATAGCTCAGCCGGTCACGTGTCTCGAAAGGGGGAGCGGATGGCGTTCGGAGAGTCTCAAGGTTCTCAGGCAGTGATCCAAGTCAAATCCTGGTGACCAGAGCGCTCGAGTCGCGTCAGATAGCCTTGTAGGAGCTGTCCAGTCAAGGAGTCTTCAAGACAAAGCAGAACGCGTTCGCAAGGTCGAAGCTCTTCCCAGCAGTAAAGTCGACTCGAGTCGACGTCGGATAGCCTTGCAGGTGCAGTGCAGTCACAAGTCTGTAAGACGAAGAGAGATCGCAAGAGTCTCAGGCAGTGATCCCAACGTACACGCTGCAAAAAGTGGACAATGCCTCAAGCCTGGACTAGACGAACGTTGTTTGGAGATGTGTGCAGTCAAGCGTCACGAGTTTGCTCAAGATTCTCAGCAGTCAACACCGCGCAGTCGAGTCAAGCCAGAGTTGTAGCAGCTGCGTCCCGTCACCAGCCTGCAAGACGAAGCATGGATCGCATCCAGAACATCAAGACCCGCAGGTCATGCAATGCAGAAACCCTGCACCATCTCTCACTCGTATCTGCGTCTGTGCTCAAAGTCACCCAACACACACCATCTCCCACTCTAATCGCAATCTCAAACAAAATGTCCATATTTCGCACCCTCCACCCTACTGGAACGACTGAAGCGTAAACGGGCACACCACATCATTCACCTGCGTGTTGGTCTCCTTCCTGCCCACCAACCCTCTAATGTTCATGGCCAGACTCAACGCCAAGTTCAACGTCGGCCTCGTGGTACCGTCGTAGTTCGGACCGCAACCCTTGTACCAATCCTGGAACGTCTGGTCTCCGCTAGCGTTGAGGCTGACGTAGCTCATCTCGACGGGGAAGTTGAACGGTGTCAGACCTCTGCCTTTGAACGAGAGGTTGTCCATGTGACCCTTTCCAACCTTCTGGTAGGTATTGAGATCGGTGACTTCCAAGGTCAAGTCGGTTGCATGCGTTGGTAACCATCCGTTTCTGTTGTTGGCTCGGAGGTTGAAGCCCATGGTCATGCTGAAGTTGGTCGGAGAGTGCGAGACTTGCATACTGGCGCCGTTGGGGATCGCCGTGACGGGATTGGTGGATAGAATGGCGAAGGTCGGAACGCGCGGGATGACAAAGAAGAGCATGACACCGAGTGCGACGAGGACGAAAAAGGCAATAAAGACAGCGACGCGAGGACTCAACCATCCCCACAGATGATCTTGACCCGAGACCCAGAGCTGATACTTGCGTTTGCGATTGGTGCGTTTGCGACGACGTTTGGTATTGCGGGTCATGTCGCGCAACTCCTCCTTGGTGTATTCGTTGCCGAGAGCGGGGACGGTGATGAGTTCGATGCCTGTGGTCGAGTCGGCGTTGCGTGCACCCATACCGGAGGGACCGTTGGTTGCAGCGCCTGCGGATGTGTACTGGCTGTTGCGATTGGCGCCGGAGAGCGGGAAGCTGGCGGAATCGCGTTGGTTCTGCTGCTGTTGGATGATGGAACGACGAGGATCGGCATTGCGGACATCGAAACCAAACGCCTCGGAGGGCAACAGCGATTTGCGATTGTTGACGCCGGCAGGACTGTCAGAGTAAGGAGTCTCGATGAGGGATGGCTTGCTAGCGTCCCAGTATGCGTCGTTCTGGCTCGCGAGACCGGAGGTGGATGATCGGTGCGGGACGGGACGGGTCATGTTGAAATCATCGTAGACGTTCCAATCCTCGTCGTCGTCGTCGTCTTCGAGGTCCTCGTCATCGCGTTCTTCGCCAGGTGCGCGTGCATAGCCGTGCGAGTTGGTAGGACGTGCATCGTAGGCCCCAGTTCCTGCTACGGGCAGCGAAGGCGAGTCCATGGAGGCTCGTACGGGGTAGTCATACTGTGTTTGATGGGTGTTGTTGGCAGCGTGTGGCGTGCTGTAGGCATCAGCAGCCGAGGCGTATTGATATGGGTTGGACATGGTACCGCTTCTGTCCGGGCCAGCGATGAAGGTGTGGTGGTTGTGGTAGTGATGGACAAGGAATGCAATGTCGGAAAATAGGAGGAGGTCGAGGCTCGTGTGTTAGCTGTGGTGCGTTGGCAAATTCAATCTGCGTCGCTGTCACACTCCCTTAGCCGCCAAATGGGCGTAAAGTCACGGCTCGAACCCTTTCTTGGCTGAGATTTGGGCTGAGGAATGTGAGCATCGCAGCCACGCTTCTCCGACGCTCCGTTTGCGCGTTTCAGGGTTCAATAATGGATTGATGCACCGAAATTGTGCTCTGCTTGGCTGCCGTGGGCTGAAAGGTGAATTCGAGATTTTCTGAATCCAACACTTACACTTTTTGAGGCATCACACACACACACCCGCACGCACAGCCGAGCTCACTCTGTCGGCATCCCACCTGCCACGCCAATCACCCTTAATGCTGACACCATCTAATGATAAAAAATGCATCCAATCTCGTCAAGGCATGTGAATGATCTGGCACTCGTGTCAAGTAGGCGCAGGATGATCGTCCCTGTTCGCACCCTTGGCACGCTCCTGACTAGCCTTGAACCTTTTCAGCAGCATCACCGACGGCGGAGGTTGCGCATCCACGAATCCAGGCACCAACGCAGGAGACATGGCATACGGATCGCTGTGCACACTTCCACCGCTAGCGCTGCCTTTGCGCGACGGCATCGGCGAAGCTTCTCGCGACACGTTGCGGCTGCTCGCTGAAGAGTGCATCGATCCCGGTGTGCTGCGTCCCCTAGCTGCTGACGACCGGGGTGCGATCCAAGGCTCCGGTGAACGAGATCGAGGAGGCGAACGTGACACCGATTTGCTGTGTCGTCGCGAATCCTTATACTGAGACGTGCTTCCCAGCATCAGCCCCGGTTCAATATGTGGCAGCGATGGAGATTGCGCTAGGTGCCGTTGCCTCGCAGTTCCCTGATGATACGGTGATGCGTCCAGAGATCCTCCTCCTCCTCCACCGCCCCCATCTCCACTGATCGATGAAGCCGCGTTCCCGCTTGATCCCGACGTCCTGCCCAGCAGTGCCGCGTATAGTCCGTTTGGAACGATTCCCCTCGCTCCCGCTTCATGCTCCCGCCTACCCTTCTGTCGTGCGCTATCGTCCGCCTTCGCCTGCGTCACCGTATCCCTCCTCTCCTGCTGCTGTTGTGCCAGCAGTATGTGCTCCAACTCGGCAGGCGCGCCAACCTCTTCTCGTTCAGAATCGCTCGACCACTGATCCGCGTCTTCCCATTCTTTCGCCCATCCAGAAGGCCTCAGCCGCATTCGAGATTTGGCGTTCCTTCCTCCACGTCCACCTCGTCCTGCTCGGCCTGGAGCAGCCGTGCCTCCACGTCCCGCCACCACTGCACGGAACACCGCCTTGCGTCGCCAATTGTCTGTTCCGACCGACACCTTTGCTGCACTGCATCGGAACCAGGCTCGCAGCAGCAGCGTTGACAATGCTTCGTGGTCAAAGTGGGTGATGCACCTAATCGTAAGCATTGGCACTTCCCCTGCCGACGCTGTACCCGCTTTCGGTGAGAAGCCAGCGGTGATGCTGCTTCTCGGCATCGCATCCAGCGCAGGCAGAGCTGCGTTTCCCGGAACAGCATTGTCCGCATCCTCCATCACCCATTCCACCGACCGCAACCACCACACCTGGTCAGCCTCTGGCATCACTGCTTCCCCCGCCCTTGGCTTCTTGCGATACAGATCCATCCGCCACCCCCTCACCGTCAGCCAGTGCACTTTCCACTTGCCCATCTTGGTCGATCTTCTGGCCGACGCTTTCCCTGCATTCGCGCCTTTGAGAACATACACCCAGCCTTCAAAGTACGGCTCCAAGCACGGCGCATCGGTATCAGGTCCAGCATCTTGCTCATCTCCCCACGTCCGGTCGAACATACCCTTGTTACCGCCCGAGGCTGCACCATCGACACGCAGAGTTTCACCCAAGCTGATGGGTGGGATGTAGACGCGTTCGGTCGGAATGCTCCACTGCAACTCGAGCAGTTCGTACGGTCGGATTCGATACGCAGCAACCGTCTTCCACTCGTCCAGCTCGCATCCGTTGGCAGACGATAGAACGGCGTACTTGGCAGAGAGCGGATGAGAGGCGTCCTTGACTCCACGAGAAATTTCATCTAGTCGGATGCCCGCAATGTACAGATCGCGCGTGTCAGCCGGAGCAGCTGCGGCAAAGGGCGATGAGGGTGCCGCAGCTGCATCCCCCGAGGATTGCTTGCGCAAGATCGGCGGCGTCGCCGTGGCTTGCCTCACGGTTCGCTGTTTCACGGTCGAGAATCCTTCATCGTCATCTATACCTCCGGGTGCACCTTTGAGCATGTCCAACAGCTCCATCCGCGGTCCATCTCGACGTTGACTCGTCTCAGGCACGAGTTTCCTAATGTTCGTCTTGGGCAGCGATGAGTTGCGCACCGGTGAGGATATCACATCGGGCATCGGTGGGACGTCATCTCTGGCTGAGCGCGATCGCAAGACATCGGCGGCGGTGACGGTCTTGCTGCGTGGCCGCAGAGGCGAAGTGCTCGACGAGGGCGAGCCGGACAACAAAGCTTCCGATGGCTGGACCGGACTCGACAGGGCTGCAAGCGTGGACGAGGGTGCTGGCGACGGGCTGGATGGCTCTTCGGACAAAGGTGCTGCCTCGGCTTGCGTACCCCACTGCATGATGGACGTATCGTCATCCTGCGTCGTCATCAAAGCGGCAGATGCGGACGGGGGCGAGTACGAGTCAAGGGATGCGAGCGAGTTGAAGGACTCGCATGCCCCGGGCTGAGTGTAGAAGATGGCGGGCGGTGCGGTGCTTGCAGTGCTGCCGGGGTTGATGCGGATTGGTCGCCGCGGAGGGGTAGCGGCGTAGGGATGCAGGCTGTCGGCTCGTGGCGAAGCGGCGTAACCGGAAGCGGCGTGACTGCCTGCAGACGAAGCATGGAAGCTGGGTGACGAGACAGCATTCATCCGGGGCGACGACGCAGCCTCGCTATCAAATGTGCTGCTCGAGGCAATCGTCGGAGTCGAATTGCAACTGTGCGCTGGCGAGCTCTGCTCGCGACGAGCATGCCACTGCGACAACCTCGACCTCGCCTGTGCTTCCTCCAACTTGGCATTACGATCGCCTGTGACCAGTGACGCATCCAGGCGGACCGAAACTTCTTCGATTGCACTCGACGAGTGCGAGTGGGATGTCTCTGAAGCGCTGACGTCGGAGCTGATGGTGGCAATGTTGCTGGTTGCTTCCCAATCGGAGGTTGCAGAAGGAGGCGAAGTGGCGAGTGAGGAAGTAGAGATCTGACGGGCAACTGGTGCAGGCGGCGAGCCGACCACATCGCCGCTGCTTGCTGACCTTGCCGGCGAGCCGCCGGTGCCAAGAGCGCGCGAAGACAGGGAGCGAGGGATACTGCGCGAGCGAGGCGATGCCGTTGCGTACTGCTTCGTCGAAGGAGGAGGCAACGCGACTTGGGTCTGGCGCGGGCTGTATGCGCTGTCAAAGTTGGGCAGCGGCGGTACGGGAGGAGGTTGTGTGGGTCGTGCAACGGAGGCCGGACTGGGATTGCTGCGCGAGGGACGCTTGTTGAATCGGTTTGTGCCAGCTACAGAGGCTGCTAGCGAGGCGGCAAGGTCGCTCAAATCGGGTGGGGGGCAGGCAATGGATCTGGGGAGCGCATAGGTGCGATGTTTGACCACCTTGTCATGACTGGCAACGGGAGCGATCTTTGCATGAGCGGAAGCATTGACGGCGTCCTGATAGAAGCGGTAGGAGAGCGACGGATCGTAGTCGGGCGCGTTGGCTGTTAGGAGAGCGGCGTCTTTGATGGAGCCGATGGTCTGACTCGGCTCGACGTGAATGCGCAACCAAATATCCTTTGGCACGATGCGGACGTGGATCGGAAGACGCGCCGGCTTTTCGAACGTGCGTGTCTTTGGGCTCTGAACGGTCTCGGTGTACGCTGGCCGATGAAAAGGTCGAGTCGACGATGAAGGCGACGAGGATGCTGTTGCGCCCACTGCGCCCGTACGATCGGGGAAGCTATGTTGCGATGAGGACGATGCCGATGTTGAGCTGGTGGATCGAGTAGTAGCAAGCGAAGACTTGTGCTGCAGCGATTGGTCTACTGCAAGAGCGGAGCGCAATCCGCCTGACGAAGGCCCCGCTTGCACTGACGACATTGCAGCGTATGGATCCATGCTGTGCGGAATGCGCCTATGAACGCTCTGATTGTTCGAGAAAGGGCGAAGAGGAAGCTGGCGTTCCGGCGCGCAGTCTGGAGTACGGGGCCGCGGTGCGCCCTTTGGATTAGTGTGCCATCCGAGAGAAAGGGCGAAGGTGTGATCGATTGGTCGATCGACGGAGTAGAGCGAGATGTGACAGCCGTGATGAGGAGGAGAAGGAGGAGGAGGAGGAGGAGAAGGATGAGGAGAAAGAGGAGCATGGAGAGATGTCTGTTTGGCTCGTTTCCCTTTTTCCTTTAGCCGGCTCGGAACGCCAACCTAAAAAGTGCAAATTGGCCGCGTCGGCACTCTGTCACTAACCGAGATGAAAGATCTGAATCTCTCGTCGTTTAGTGCCGTCTGTGTCATTTGGCGGCTAAGTTGAGGCCCATTATTCTCTGTAATTGGCTTTGCTGCAGTGCATTGCGTCTGGATTCATGCTTTGGTCGCTTCCGTTCTCGTGCTTCCATCTGGCCCTTTTCATGCGGGGTTCAGCACGGATCTCGACCATCCACCACAAGAGCCGATTCGATCCTTCTTCTCCGTCCATCTTCTCGCTCTCCATCAAACGTCGTACTCTGGATCCTTTGGCACACATAGCAATGAACAGACAGGGAGAGGAGTGCTGAGTAGAGACCTTGCTTTTGCAGTGCGAATAACAATAAAATGAGAAGAGGGAGGGTATCAAATACGAATAATTCAGGGATTTCTTCAGTGAGTGTATGGAGTCGAGCCCGAGCAGCTAGACAGACACCTTTATGAGGCAGCGCCACAATCAGTACAGCGAGCCTTTGAGACTTCGAGGCCAGCCGTAGTCCATCATCTCATCGTCCCAATCCGGAGGCAGCTCCAACGATCCGCGACGGTCACGCGCGCGTTTCTTGATCGCCTTGGCGCGTGCAGCTGCCACCGAGTTGATGGCGGCAACCGCGTTCCGTCCGCCTCCCGTCTTGCTGTCCCAGATGCCCGGTCCTCCTGGCAAGTTGACCAACATGTGACGCGGACGAGGGGTTCCGGACTTGCTCGTCGCCGACACTGCAGGCCACAGATCCCTTTCGTCCATGTCGTCCTCTTCGTCCTCTGCCGACTTGATCGACTGCACCGATCGACGGCTGCGCACCAGCTTGGGCGGCGCTTTGCGAGGCGCAGCAGGCGATCGGGAAGCGTTCGAAGCCATGCGTGGGTCCATACTGCTTCGGCGAGTGGGGCGTCCCGATTTACGACGCATCGACGACGACGTCGGCGAAGTCGAGACCAGCGCCATGTCGTCGTATGACGCCGTCAGATCCGAGAGCGCTCGCGCAGATGCCTTCTTGCCAAGACGCGCGTGCACCACTTCTTGACCGGCTGCCCGCGTCGTCGCTCGCTTCTTTTGCATCGCCGTCTTGCGCTCTTCCTCCAGCAGCTCTTCCGCATCCAGATCAGAGCCTTCTTCCTCCTCCTCATCTTCTCCTTTGCCTCCCTCACGCTCTGCTAGCTCGTCCTTGTCGGCGTCCGATGCATCGCTGTCGTCCGACTGCCACACGCGACCTTCCCGTGGACGCTCGGGACGAACGCCCAGCTGAGGCAGAGGAACCACTGCAACACCGCGAGCATCGGGTCGACGCGGCAGCCACGGAGATGGCGCAGGCGTGCTTACCGAAGGATCCAGCGAAATACGTTTCTGCGATAGGGGCGACGACGCAGCGTGCGAGCTACTGGCGTTGTGCAGCGACGACGCCGATTTGCTCGCCGCAGACGCTGCATAGCCGCTCACCGCCGACGACTTGCGCGAGAGCGTGCTCTCGGGGGAATCGATGCGAGCCAACGACGCGTTCATCGTGTGCTTCTGATTCGGTCCCGCTGCAGCAACCGGCAGCTCGTCGTTGAGGTGCTTGCGCTCCACAGCCTCTGTGTCCTGCGGGAAAATCACCTCGTGCTTGAGCATCGTCGGCCCAGCGTAACGGATCGTCTTTTCGCTGTCGGTGGTGGCCTTTCGCATGATGGAGCCCACGGCGCGCGAGATCGACTTTTTCTCGCTTGCGCCTTCGCGTGACGTCGCCTTGGCGGGTGCGGCCGAACCCGACACGACAGGAGGCGAGGCGACGGCGCCTTGACCGACACGGTTGCTGCTCTTGCTGGGCGAGCTCTGATGCTGCTCGGCGGCAGACTCGTCGCCTCCAAGCTGCGACGAAGCAGTGGCGCGGCTGGTCGAGCTTGCCTGTCGACGCTGGTTGTTGCGTCGTGTCTGTGCCAGCACCTCGGCTCCGAGCGCCGCCACTTCGTCTTCGTGCCTTCGACGGATCTCCTCGGCCTTGCTGGCAGTGAGACCCAGACCGGTATTCTGACGGGTCGCCCCTTCACTGGGAGCACCCGACTCGGATGCGACCGCTCGATTGGCTCTTCCCAGAACTTGGCTTCCGCTCATGGCCGAGTCGCCGTTGGAATGCTCCGACAGCATCGACGCTTCGAGACCACCTGCACTAGGCTCCTCGGCAGCAGGCGAGGCGACGAATGCATCGTTGCCTGCAAACAAGCCGCTGACGGGGCGCGCCGTATCGATGCTGGTTAGCAGCGATTGGCGTTTGTCGTTCTCGGCGGTCGGCGGCGCGTTGACGATCGCGCTGACCAGAGGAGGCTGCTCGGCTACTTCCAAGGATAGCGGCATGGGTTCGTCGAGGACGGCGGGAACGGTCGATGGCGCCTGCACCGTCGCATCCGAAGGAACTGCAACCGAAGCGTCATCGAGTGCAGTAACGCTTGTTGAGGGTGCCGTCGCTGCAGCGCCGTTGACTGCGGCGGTGCTGTCTGTCGGATCCTGCGCTGTTGTGTCGGTGGACGCTACTAGGGCAGGAGTCGAATCTCTCGCCGCCTCATCAGCCTGCGCTGGTGCTTGTGCCGCTAGCTTTTCGGCCTGCTCGCGTTCCATGCGCGCCTTTGCCTCTCTTTCTCGTCGTCGACGACGCACCCATGCCATTCCAGAATCGTCGTCCTCCTCGTTCTCGTTGGCCTCCATGTACGCAGCAATACCCTTGTAGTCTGAGCCGTTGGGGGTGGTGGCGAGAGACGGAGGGCCACTTCCTCCGAGACTGCGACGTGACGCCTCGCGGGCCAGACCGGCAAATCCCCACTCGATGAACTCGGGCTCGTCTTGGGCGGGCAGATCGTTAACGCGGCGAGCGCGGATCTTGGTGCCGTCCGGAAGCGTGACCATGCCTGTGCCGCCAGGGCGTGCGAGACGGATGAGCTCCTTTCGGCGAGCACGCTCGTCCTCGTCGCCCGAGCTGATGGCACCTGTGCGGCTGCGAGAGCGCCGACGTGTTTGGGAGGATTTGCGTTTAACCTTGGAACTCGAGGAGCTTGCCCTTCCGCGCTCTTCTTCATCGTGATCCGATGCTGGTCTGCGTGTAGCGTCTGCGCTGGTGCCGTCGGAAAGGCTGCCTGTGCTCTTTCGACGAAGACTATGACCATCCTCGGAACGGTCGTCGCCATCGGCGGAACCTATGCTCTTGGCGCTACGACGCTTGCTGCTCTTCTTGGTGTAGTACTCTGGCTTGAAGTAGGCCGAGGGCATGCCCATGAGGTACCACTTTCCCTTCATAGACTTAGCGTCGTCGTCGCTATCGTAGTCAGAGTCGGAGATGTCGGACTCTTCGGAATCCTCGACGAGTGCAGAGCCATTGAGCGACTGCATGGTGGGAAGGGCTGCTGTGGGTGTTGGCAAGGGGGCGAAACGAATGCGTGGCGACTTGGACTCAGCGGCGTCGACGGTGGACGTGGTGGAAGTGGAAGAGGTGGCTGCATGGAGCGAAGCGAGCTGCGTCGCTTTCTCCGACGTCGAGGTTGGCAAGGCGCTGCTGCCCGCGCTGACGGAGGACTGGCCGACAGAGCTCACGCTGGGCACCGAGTCTTGCGATGCGAAGCGCCTGTCGTCAAGTGGTGGGCGGGCGAGGTCCTGCGTCGAGTTGCCGAAACTGGTCGAGGGCCGCAGAGGGCGTGGTGTGATGCTGATGGAACCACTCACGAGGGCTTGTGCTGCAGCCATGCTGCGACGTGTGTTGATGATAGCATTGAGCGCGGCGAGTTCTTCCGGGTCCATGCGCTCTTCGATGGGCGAAGAGCCTGCGTGGCCGTCCGCTTGTGTTGTTGCCTTGTCCTGAGCACCATCGCTGCTGCGGCGAGAGGCACGTGCCGAAGAGCTTTTCGGGGCGTCGTCGTCACTATCGCTGTCACGAGCAGAGCGCCTGGAGGATGTAGAGGATCTGGGTACCTCGGCCGAGCGGAGTCGTTTGCGGTCGTTGGTGGGGATGGCTGTGCTTGGGAGAATGGAAGCTCCACCGCTTCCGTGACCCCAACCTGCCATCATGGCCATCTGTGCGTTGAAGTTGAGGTCTCCGAGGCCGAGGAGGAGTGCCTTCTTGGGAATACCCCAGATCTTTTCCTCATCTTTGCTCCTTGCCCTTTCACGTTCGCGCTCCTTCTCTTTTTCGCGCTCGCGGAGACGTTCCTTTTCCTTTTCTCGTTCTTTGCGCGAGGGTACAGCTGGGATATGGGTCACGACGGGAGCTGCTGCGAAAGCGACTCCAGCGGCGGTGGCAGGGTCTGCGTAGATGACGCCCGAATAAGGACGCTTGCGTGCGTTGATGAGGATCGAGGAGCGCGGAAGCAGCTGCGATGTGGATCGTGAGGTGTGGAGGCTGTGTTGGGCGGAGGCCGATGCCGGGACGAGGTCGGTGTCTAAGCTGGTGGCGCGGACATGGTCGACCGTGGCAAAGCTGCCGGAGGGTGTGGAAGCTGAACGAATGGCCCGAGGAACGCTGAATTCATTGGTGTGATGCAAAAGAGGCGAGGTGTTGCTGGTGGACAGCATGATCGAGCGTACGTGCAAAAGTGGAGAGCTGATCGCAGCGGGTGCGATGCGAAGGAAGAGTGAGCGAGACCGATGGGTGTGGTGGAGTAAAAAGCGCGCTTTCTGACCAAGACGACGTCGGCGACGGCGACGAACACGACAAGGGCAACGGCGGCGTGTGCGTCCCGACGCCAACAGTTCGGAGGCTTTCCGAATGGAGTGGGTCGTGGTCCGTCTGGTCGGTCGAATGCGAAAGTGCTGCCGTCGGTAGTCGGCCGACGAGCTCAGTCAAGAATTGGTCCGTTGAGCCAGGCTGATGTCGTGCAAGATAGTAAGACGACTAGCGTTGAGAGAAGCGGACCTGCTGTACAAGATGGTGGTGGTAGGGATCGTGTTCGTGGGTCTGTTCTGTTTTTCCAGACCAACAGATGGTGCGAATCCACGTCGAGCTCTCGTTTGGGAGGAAGGACCGTGTTATATGTGAGGCGAAGGCCAGGTGGTGGAGACACGGAAGAGAGCAAGGTTGAGGAGGAGGAGGAGGAGGAGGAGGAGGAGGCGTAGAGATAGAGAGCAGGGACGGATCATGCAATCCCGCTTACTGAACGGAAAGCGGGGTCAATTCGCAGCGAGAAGCGGACGTGGACGGTATGTGCTGACCTGCAGAGACTGAGAGCCCGAGCCTAAAAAAAGTTGGCACGTCGCGAGGCTCGGGACGCAAGCATATACTTTTGTGTGTATGTGTGTGGAGCAAGCCAAGGGCGTGACGCTTTTAGGCGAGGCGAGGCTAAAAGCCAGGCGAGGACGGTCCGTGTACTAGAGCAGGGTTCCGGGCTGAGTCGTCGTGGCAGCGGGAGAGTGGGATTGCAGTGGAGACCGTTGGGCCCCTTCTCATTTCTGGAGACTTGCTGTTGAAAAAGCGACTGCACCAGGCAGAGTCGGTTGGGCTGGGCGACTCGCTTCGTGAGACCCTGGGAAAAAAAGGTACTTGGGGGCTGTGTGCTTTGGACGCGCCTTGCACAAAGCGGGTTCTATACAGTAGGCTGTCAAAATGCAACAATAAATTTAAAATAAGAAGAAATTACGATTCAATCCCAGCCAAAACGGGTCGGGCTCGTCCAAGGCCCAGAACAGCGAACGGGCGACACCGCAACCGAAGCTCAGCTGAGCTTGTTCGACGGGACAGGAAGCTACGAAACGCGCCTTGCAGTCGACTCCCGTTGCACAAGCCCACGTGTGACGGCATTCCGTGGATGACGATCAGCGACGAAGACCAAGACGGAAGAGCCAGACGACGACGAAGACGACAACGCATTGCGCTAACGCAGGCTGTGCGGAGATCTGTGCTTGTCTGAGTCATGTTTTGTAGATCGGTGAGACGAGTGGGCTTACACAAAACGGTGCAGCGTCGGGATCGTGCGGAATGTTTCGGGACACTTCCTGCGTCGCCTCGAGCGACAGGAGAAAAGCGATCTGCTGTGCTATGCTCTTGTCGATTGCGTTTCGACAGTGCATGGAGGCGGTGCTGGTGTGCGATTGCGATGCGATTCCGATCATGTGGATGCTGCGCCTCATGAAAGCCTTTCGCCAGAATTGACTGACTCTGTCTCGTCCTCTTGCGGCGGCTGCAGCTCTTTCATCAGGTCCGAAAATGGGAAACGGAGGCGAGCAAGAAAAAGTCTTGGCTGCATATCGAATAATTGTCCGAGATGCGCGTGTCTCAACACAGCCCAGGTTGCCGCCTCACCTCCCAGTTCGCCATATTGCTGTGGATACGAGGGGTATCGTAGAGCAAAAGGTCCGATACAAAGGCTACAGTATGTTGTCCAGCTGTCTGCTCTGATGAGACGACTAGCTGATGACGTTCGGCTGCAATCCAGCAATCGAGCCTGTCCCGCGTTGCGGCAGCAATGCAGCCTGCTTGAACACCGCGTCACGCACGCTGCAAAACATCGGCACGTGCGCCCAACCACAGTCTGCAACACACGGTTTAGGTTGGGAGTCGCAAATGGCACTCTAAACTTAACTCTTTTCGCTGAACATCGTCCCGATAGCCAATCGGTACCGATGCAAGCCGACCATCCCGGCTCTATTGTCCCGAGCGAGCCACCTTTCATGATCGTACTGCGGCTTCTCTCGACAGAATTCATGCGCCAAGAACAGCTTCTTGTTGCCCCTGACACCCGCCTGTGTTGCTCCGCGGTCATCAGCATTTCATGGGACAGCATACCGGCAAGCCTGAACTTTCTCTGAGCGATGCGGACGGATCATGTTTTCTGTTTCGGTATTACCAACCACTAACATGGTCATCACTGCATTCGAGTCGATTCCGTCCTTCGATTCGACATGTGATGCAAAGTGCGAGCCGACGGGATCGCATCCGCACTTGTACCGTAGGATGCGTCCGAGGGGCGCTGAGACCTTCTAATCGCCGCCGTGCATCAGTGTCGCGTGCCTCTCAGGATGACCTGTGAGGAGCGTGTACGTCACGCGGACCGAACGAAAGGGACGGGAATGCGGGGTAGCGGCAGCGCAGCACAGTAGTCAGCTGAAACATTCTGAGGAACGGAGGCCACCCGAAAAAGCAAACTCGCTAAAACAACACATCGCCGATTTCTCGAGGATCGGAGACTGATCCGACCCGAATCGTTCGGCAAATTGGACGGTGCATAATCGGTCCAGTTTCAAAGGGTGCACGGACGAAGGCCTTGCACATACCCAAGCATCTCTACCACCACCAACTTTCAAGCACACCCTACGATGTCGTCTACCACCAACTACGAATCGTGTCAAACATGGCAAGAGATCGCTGCCGAGCATCGCAAGAGCCTCCAATTTCCCGCTGGCACCATCTCGGATGATCCGCAACTCAGCGAATGGTCACAGAAGGCCAATTTGGACTATACGAACCCTTCCAACACTCGGCCCGGTCCATCACTGTCCACTCTGCTTCAGAATGATTCGACACGGCGGATCTGGAGCTCCGAGCTCGATGCTGTTCTTGACGGACTCGATGCAACTGGTATCGTCGAATTGACTCGATCCGGCAAGGCTAAAGTCCAGGACGTCGTGCAACATTTTTTGAGTCGTGCATCGATCGTGCATCAGGCGACGAACTGTCTTTCTCACTTCTTCGCCGAGGACGCTATCCGGAGAGCTAAGGATCTGGACGATAAGAGAGCTACGTTGGAGGCGGAGGGTAGGCTGGATGAGCTGGGACAGCTGTTTGGCCTGCCGATGAGCATCAAGGGACACATGTCGTACGGACGACACGGCAGCCAGAGAGGGTTCGTGTTCGATGTACTGCCAGATCCCAGCAGCCACCCGCTTGTCCGGCGAAATCTCGCCACCAAGCAGGTTGAGCTGCTAGCTTCTACTCAGGGCAGATACGTCAGCGAGAATCCGGTCGATTCGAGCATCGCCAAGTTGCTCCTGGAAAACGACGCGGTGATCATCGGCAAGACGACCATGCCGCAAGGTGTCATGCATCTAGACACGACGAACAATCTTTACGGTCAAACGCTGAATCCGCATAACCTGGCGTTGAGCCCAGGCGGATCGAGTGGAGGGGAGAGTGCGCTTGTTGCGGGAGGGGGTAGTGCAATGGGTGTGGGGTCGGATATTGGAGGAAGCATTCGTCAGCCGTGCGGTGTGACTGGGTTGTATGGAATCAGACCCACAACGCAGCGCTTGCCGTATGGAGGCGTGCGATCGACCATGCCAGGTAATGAAGGTGTCGGGTCGTCGTTGGGACCTATGGCGAAGAGTATGAGGGATGTAGAGCTGTTCATGTCGAGTCTGATGAACGACAGGACGAGGCCGTGGGAGTGGGACCATACTGTGCTGCCTATGCCTTGGAGGAAAGTGGACGGTCTGCTGCATGGTGGTCGAAATGAGAGTAAGCCGATCGTCGTCGGAGTCATGATGGAGGACGGAGTTGCGAGGCCCACGACACCGGTTCGACGTGCGCTTTCAAAGTGGGTCGACAAACTGAGCGCTTTTGCGGCTCAATCCGGCACGGATCTGCCTCGGATCGAGCTTCGACGTTGGAACCCACGCGATCTGCACCGACGTGCTTGGGACATCATCCGCTCTCTCTACTTCATGGACTCGGGCAAGATGTTTGCGCTCCTCTCCAAGGCCACGGGAGAACCACTGCTTCCTCTGACGCAGTTCATCCTCTCGGAGCCTTATGTCCGCTCCGCCACTGCCGACCTGGACGCCGACGCTGCCTCCTCTGCCGATGCACGCAAGCTGGACGAGATGTCGTACACCGAATCCTGCGCCAACATTCGCGCACGCGAAGCGTTCCGGAAGGAGTTCTTGCAGGCATGGAACGAGCGCGGTCTGGACTGCCTGCTGTGCCCTGTCATGTGCAGTACAGCTCCCAGACCGGGCACGATCAAGTATTGGGGCTACACGAGCGTTTTCAATCTTGTGGATTATCCGGGCGTGGTGTTTCCCTCGGGCTTCAAGGCCGATGCAGAGGTGGATGGGGAGTTTGAAGATGCTGAAGCAGACGGTGGCCAGTTTGGATATGCAAGGAGGGACGGCTGGATGAGCGACTTTGACAAGGATAACACGGAAGAGTATGAGCAGCACAGGCAGGTGTTTGATGGTGCGCCTGTGGGATTGCAGCTCATTGGAAGGAGGTACAAGGACGAGGAGCTGGTCAAGTATGCCGAGCTGCTACAGCACATTGCTGGCAGCACCTGAAGCCCGGGCCGACCTCGAGAGAAAATGAGGACACAATTGTACGCCGAAACGCTTTGCTTCATACACAGGGATGGTATTTGGATGAGTGTGATGTGTGTTGAAATGCAAGCGAAAGTACAAACGGTGACAATGACAAGGAAACCGGTGATGGCCAGGAAAGGGCGCAGTCAGGGGACATGAGCGCCTATGCGTGCAAACTGCAAGCTCATTCGCAGGAAACATTGCACTGCTTCGACTTGCACTGGACGTTGTTGACGCAGTACTTGCCCTTATCGAGCTTGGTTTCAAGGCAGCGGTTTCGGCTTTCGCCACTGGGGTGAATGTAGCAGAATCCAGACTCGCAGGTGGCGTCCTTCTTGCAGGGCTCGCCCGTCTGCCTGAGAGCACAATTCTTGTAACCAAAGGCTCCGTCGCAGAACTCGCTTGCGCACTCGAAGTTTCGATCGCACTTAGCGCCCTTTTGGAGCGAGCCAGCCTTGACGTGGTTGGTCTCGCACTTCTTGCCCTCCCAGAAGCTGATGTGTTTGCAGTAGCCGGAAACGCAGTGGCCGTCCTCCTTGCACTTGTGACCATTTTTCAGCTTGTCGGCACAGTGGTTTCTGCTGAAGAAGCCAGGATCCAGGCAGAAGTCTGTGTCGCATTCCTTGTCTTCCTTGCACCTCTGACCGTTAGCCTTGCCACGCTTGTCGAGTGTGTGAAGGCTCGCAAATTGGGCGATGGAGGCATCGATGTTGCGGGCTGCGACGGCCGAGCGGTCGCTGGGGAGAGCCGAGACGCTGGAGGCAGCCACCAGGGCCATGATGCTGAGGATGGTGAACTTCATTGTGAGTTGTGCGAGAGTGTGGCTGTGGAAAATGTGTGGGAGTGTCCTGTTGGGGGCTACTGATGGCTCCCTTTCTTGCTCGCCTTTTATGCTCGAGAGAAGGACAAAGTCAAGACAACAAGCAGGCTCGACCACCCACGTACAGCAATCTGGTCTTCCAAGTAGTGTGCGCCATTGTTGTTCTGAGCTCTGACCTCACTCGCTCTCGGGACGGCCTTGCAGTGTTTGCGTTGGAAGCTGATCCGACGTTTTATCCGACGGAGATGTGGGGACTTTAGCCTCGCTTCGTCGCTGTGCACTCCGGCGGGCCTGCGGTGAGTTGGACCTACTCCCTGCGGCGCTAGTTGATCCGGGACCTGTTGCATGCATAATTTTGTGGCGTGCATACTGTATATTGATCGTCCGCCGCATCGGTACAACTGTCCGTGGACGGTGCAGATGGTAGACGACAGTATACCGTACAGATCAGCCCTCACGGCTAGCATCTTGCTGCAAGTGAGGATTGGGAGTTCTAGGCTACTGTACTCCGTGTGTTGGTACCTGCATCTGGACCCGCACGTACAGGTGGACAGTAAATGTTTAGCACTGACAGACACGTGTCGCGATGCCGATGCGGATCTTGCACTCGTTCATCCCAGCCTGTGGTCGTCCATCTCAGCACCAGCCGGCTGACAAGTGAGCAGTACTAAGCGGCGCAATGGCTTCCTTGCTCGTCTTGCAGAATCTGGCGAGCGTACACAGATCAGCAAGTAGAACGTTGACAACGGAGAAAGCTCGGATTTACCAGGCGAACTTAGCGCCTCCGACCGTGCCTTGGAGGCGGGAAAATTTGTAACCCCGCCACGGGATCAACGTGCATGGCATTGCCTCTTGCGCACATCTGGACGCAAGTCGATGATCCTTTGATGTGCATCCGCGGTTGCAGCGAACAGTGCATCGGTACATTGATCCGATTTGGAACTGCGCAAAGTGCCAAGAAATTGTTGTGGTCGGAGGCTAAAGTGTGACACGAGCGCGGGATCTTCGTGCATCGCAAACGTGAACATGTGACAGCGCAGCTGAACGTCGATTCAATACCAGAGTTGCATGTTCATTGTGCGGCTTCGGGCCCAGACCAGAAGCTGTAGCTTCCAACCATTCTCGAGGGACCTCTCGAACGTCCAGCAGCACCAAGGACCATGCCTCGGCATCAGCGGAAAAGAACCAATGAATGCAAAGGATTGCCTTGCCGCTACTAAGCCATATACGGGAACGTCTCACACCTCTTCATGTCTCAAATGAGATTCGATACTGTGATGACCAATTGAGTTTCACCCTTCGGCGGGAATTCGTACTTGCGGTCAGCTGTGCCTGCGGAAATTGCACCCGCGGCAAATTGCAGCTCACCATCCTCATTTCTCGAGGCACATCGCATCCCTGTAGAGAGTCACCGGTCCACCCATTGCCGGCAAGGAGAAGACGTTCGAAATCTAGACCGGGCAAGAATGTTCTGCACAGCAGAGTTCATCTTGCCCGAGAGTGACCCGCAAAGCATCACGTCGGGAACCGTCAGTGCCAGGGATTGTGACAGCATCACTGCGACTCTATGTGACTGATGCCTCGAATGCTACAGCAAGCCTTCAATTCGGACAATGCTCAACCAGGTGGCAGGCCATCGGGTGATGCTGCAGGAGGAAGCAAGGTAGACGATTCTAATCCACGAGAACGATGTGAGTTTGAGTGTGTAAGATCGTACGATGGCGACAGCTTTTCTATTTTGCGCCGACATTCGAGAATGGGCGCCACCAGCCGTTCCGAGCGGTGGCGACTCGATGCAAGGTTACCACGTTCTCATTGGATAAGAAATTCCACGACGAAAGCGTGCGGGGTAATGGCAGCGATGGACCGCTGCACAACGATATCGTCAAGCGCCGGTAAGACACACAGCTCGCTATCATCCGCGTGAGCCGCGGGAGCTGCAAGGTCGTGGGTACGATTTGAGATACGACGCAACGTGGTGGGTCGTTCACCTTGATAGGACTTTCACTCTGAACCAGGCGGCCCTCGACGTCGTCGCAACTCCTGTGGGTGGCTGGAAAGCAGAGCCCACCCTGACAGATTTGACGTGCGGTGCGAGAGATGTGACGTTTGTGTTTTCCAGAAGCGAGTTCGCGGTGATGCACAAGCGACAGAAGGTGGCTTCCATTGAAGCAAGAACGAAGGAATAAAAGCAATTTAGATTCATTGTCGCTCCTTCGTTTCCTCTCCACTCACCATCCCCTCGCAACCTTCTTGCTCGACTTTTGATCGACAACATGACCCGCACAGATACAGAGTACGAGGCCGTGGTCATTGGCGCAGGCCCTTCCGGCATTGCTGCCGCCTGCGAGCTCAAACGCCGTATCGGCCTCACCAACATCAAGATCTTTGAGCGTGGGGCCAGGTTCGGCGGCACCTGGTTCCACAACAGGTACCCCGGAGCCGCGTGCGACGTACCTCCTCGTCTCTACTCTTTTTCCTTCTACCAGAAAAAGAATTGGAAGGACTTCATGGCTAGGCAGCCCGAGATGGAAAGCTATCTCCAGGAGGCTGCCCAAGCATTTGGACTCGACAAGAACGCTCACTTCAACGCCGACGTCTACTCGGCTGAGTGGATCGAGGAAAAGACGCACTGGAGGGTCAAGTACCGCTCTGTTGATGGCGACGAGCACGGCGTCGTCACTACGCGCGTGCTTGTCAACGGCTCCGGAGCGCTCAGCGTGCCACGCGATTGCGATGTCGACGGATGGCAGAGCTTCAAGGGTCCTCTCTTCCACTCTGCCAAGTGGGACACGTCGGTCGATCTTACGGGCAAAGACGTTGTCGTGCTGGGCAACGGCTGCTCGGCCACACAGATCGTGCCTTCGATCGCCAAACGAGTCAAGTCGGTCACCCAGGTCGTGCGCGCAAAGCATTGGTACGCCCCTACTCCAGAGAACCCCTTCGGAAACCCTATCTTCCGCTGGCTCGAGCGCCACATCCCCGGCTTTGTAGGGCTCGAACGAACCATCTTCACCCTCTTCCTCGACATCCACTTCATCCAAGCCTGGAATAAGGAGGGCAAGGGCGCACGCGAGCGCTTCGCTAAGAACTCGACTCTGTACGTGTCGACCGTAGCTCCTGAAAGGTACCACCACCTGCTCATGCCCACGCAGGAAGAGCTCAAGGTGGCCTGCAAACGTCGAGTGTTCGACGACGCCTACATTCCGTGTCTGAACCGAGACAACGTCGAGCTCACCAAGGATCAAGCCGTCAAGATCACCGAGAACGAGGTGATCCTCCAGTCGGGACGAAGGCTCAAGGCCGATGTCATCATCCTTGCGTCTGGATTCAAGACGGGCGATACTGCGGTGCAGATGAGGGTGACAGGCCGCAACGGCAAGGAGCTCAACGAAGTGTGGAAGAAAGGAGGTGCGCCGCAAGCATATCGTTCGACCATCTGCCACGACTTCCCCAACCTGGCGCTCATGTGGGGACCCAACACCGCCACTGGCCATTTCTCTGCGATCTTCTCGATCGAGAGCTCGGTGCGATTCATGTGCACCATCTTCAAACCCCTCTTCCTGGCTGGTCCAAAGCATTTGTCGCTTCTCGAACGATCCGCAGGCCACACGGTCGACGTCAAGCCCGAGGCGCAGGACAAGGAGGATGCCATGATCCGTCACCAGATGGACGGTCTCATCTACACGTCCGGTTGCAAGGGATGGTACACCAACTCCAACGGACGAGTTTCGACGCTCTACCCTGGTTTCCAACTCACCTTTGCCCGCAGGAGCGACTACCCGGTCGCCGCCGATCTCACCTACACCGGTCTGCCTCCTTCCACACGACCGAGCGCATACTGGACCTACCTCCAGCAGATCGCGTCTTTCCTGAGGATTGGAGACGTGCCAGAATACCGTCAAGCTTACCTAAAGAGGAGGTTGTGGATCGTACGACACCTGCTCGACCCTCTGTTCATGGGTGTGTACAACGTCAGTATACAGCTGCTGCTGGTGCTCGTGTGGATTGCAGACAAGGGTCTGTTCTACACTCGAGGCGCAAAGGACTTTGAAAAAGTCAAGCAGCAGTACTTGATGTCCGCCGAGTAAATGGGTCCGCAGTCCGTGTTGGGATCGACGCAATCCGGTTCATTATATGTAGAGTGCTTTGCAATGCTCAGTCTTATGATTTCGTCCTCCCCAAGCTGCGATCGTTTGCCTAGTGAGATGGCCGTGCAAAGGAGATCGAGTGAGAGAGCGGCCGTGGAAGAGCTTTGCAGAGCAATGTTGGCAAACGATCTGGCCCGCACGATGTGAGGGAATTGCTCTGGCGACTCAGGATCGATCTCTCCAAGGAGATGAAACAAGTCGAACGTGACATTCAAAGGTGTGGACGCGTCAATCTCCACGGAGATGCGCTGATAGAGACACAGATCTGCTTGATGGAGGTTTTTTTTCTTTTCCAGATCCGCTGGAAGCCGCAGAAACATGCACATGGTAGAAGCGCGGTTGGTGGACCCTGAAGTGTCAAAACCCCACCTCGGACCACGCATACCCGAACGCTCACCAGCCCGTTTCCCCTGAGGAGTACAAAGAGCAAGCACGATACGTTCCCGTCTTTCTGTCTCGCCACCACATCCTCAAACGCACCCAAAGCCATCCGTAGTGGAAAAAGCACCGCAGCAAACAATGTCGAATCCGACGCATCCATCAGCACGGGTCATCGAGACTTCGATCCACATCTCTGCGCCGCTTTCCACGGTACGTTCGGTGCTACTCGATTTTGCCTCCTACCCGAGCTGGTCGAGTTTCATCACTTCGATCGCGCCGGTCGCCAGCAAGGACAACGTGAGCATCGATGATTCGCTCCGCGTCACGCTCAATCCACCGGGAGGATCACCGATGAACATGACACCGAAGGTCGTGCACCTCGACGACACCGGATTAGGATGGCAGGGTCATCTAGCGAACATCAGCGGACTGTTCGATGGAAAGCACCTGTTCCTGCTCAGCGAGGAAGACGTGGATGGGAAAAAGGGGACAAAGCTGGTGCAGAGGGAAGAGTTTGGTGGAGTGCTGTATACTCCGTTGATGAGTTGGTTGGGATTTGGCGACAAGACAAAGAAGGGATTCGAAGCGTTTGATGCCAGCGTGAAGAAGCGAGCTGAGCAGGTGGCGATGGAGGGAGGAAACACGCAGTGAGGACTCTTGAGGAGCGTGCTGCCGTGTCTTGTGTAAAAGTGATTCGTGTATGCTATGATGTTTCGAGCGGCCTGTCGTCGTGATAACTTGATGAAACTACATTTGCCTGTCATCAACAATATTTTTACGGGGTGATCATATAAGAGGGTGATCATACACAGTCTTGAGTGTACAAGTGTACTCTGTCGACTCATTCGCCTTGCTCACTTGCATGCTGGCCCGACTGGGTTGATGAGAGATTTTAACATCCAGGTGCATTTTGGAAGCCTGTCTCTACGCGTCTTGGTTCAGACAGCTGAAATCCGAGTGGACAGCAAGTTGAGTTGGTGCGTGGCGTGTGGTGGGGATTTGTTGGCCATCATCACATTGTGATCTCATGAAAGCGTGTCAACAATGACTCAAGCAGACGCGGCTAGCATCCGACAAAACAAGCTTCAGAGTCAGAGCCGACTCCAGGTTGTTGTACCTCTGGCAGCAGCGCTCTGGCCCCTCTTCACTCCTTTCTTCGTCCAGGTAAGAAGGGGGGCGGGAGGCCCGAGCGTCGAGATCTTTCGAGCCGTGCCTGCCAGATGCTCGCTCTCAAACTGAGCCTTCATCTCGATAGCATTCTCAAAGCCCTCGCGCAGCAAAGTTACTCTGCATGAGATGCAGCAGAGGTGGGCGAGAGCAGCAACTCAGCTGCTCGCCTTGCTACTTGCTTCCCGTTTCTTTCCTTCCTTCGTCGAGGGTCTGCTCATCACGCTGCCTCTTACCATCTTCTTCAGATGGAGCACATCATTGCCCTCAGCGATAGCGAAGCATCTGACTTGCCTGACGAATCTTCTGACTTCACTGACGACACTTTCCTCTTCTACGCCGACTCGAGATTCTCTGGGTTCTCCAACTTCTCACAAGAATCTCGCGAGGACTACTTCGAAGCACAACTCTGCCGCGAGGAGTGGGACGCCACAGACACCCTCCAGGAGTTCTGGATCGGAAACAGTCTGGGCATTCTGGACATCGAGACTGGTCACTACCATACACACCCAGAGCGTGAGTGCAAAGAGGTATTCCATCTCGCCGACTGGACAAGTCAGTGTCTGGTAGCTGCCGAACGCTACCGTGCCACCTCCGCAGAAAGCCACTGGCGTCCCGTCAATGCCATGTCGGCCATCCGTAATCACGCCAAGCTCGAAAATAACGTTGTCGACATGGCTCCCTTGACCGTCACTTCAGAGTCCAGTCGTCCGACCACGCTGCGTCAGGCGTGGCAGAGCAACAATTTCGAAGCTGTCATTAGTCTCGCCTCTGGCATGGTTGAGCTGCGTGCCAGCGCCGCCGCCTTTGACAATGTCGCTCTCATCCGCGAGCTTGTCGCCGCCCTCCGTCACCGATTCTTGGCATACGACAAGCTCGGTCTTGCCAACTTGGCCGTCGCCGACGCAAAGCGCATACTCGAGCTCACCGCCAAGTTCGGTTCCGACGCTGTCGTCCAGGTTGATGAAGACCTCCTCCCGAAATTGGCGTCGCTCGATACGGTCGCTGTGCCTGTCCTCGAAACCGGTGGCGATCGAGCTCCGAAACGCCCGGCTCATGATACGCTTGGCGGCACGCTAATCAAAAGAGCCAAAGCCGGAGACCGCCTGCACGTCCGCAAGGTTAGCATCATCCAGCTTCCCGTCGAAGTCATCCTCTTGATTGCCGACCATCTCGACGCTCCCGACCGCATCAAGCTCGCTAACACGCGTGTCGACTGGCGCAGATTCCCCGAGCTATGGCGAACGCTCAAATTTGTGCGCATCAAGCACAATACTACCAATGGCTGGCAGCGCGACACCATTGACGCCTGTGTCACTGCCATTGAGACTTGTCAGCGCAAGAGCCACAATACCCTCTCGTCTGTCGTACTCAAAGGACCCCTCAACTCGGAAGGTGTCGCCCACATCCTCGAGGCTCTTCAGTCCTCCAGCCATTCTCTCAGACATCTCGCTATCCCTACGCTCGACCAAAAGCAGTGCTTCACTCATCTCTACAAGCGCTGTCTCAACTTGACCGATATCGACGTCCGTCTCGGCCCCGACGGCGGATCCCGCCATTCTGGTGCGTACGGATCCACGACGAGCCTGTTCGAGTCGTCCAAGCTACCTTTTAAGCTGAAGAGGTTCATCAGCGACCAGAGCCTCGATGCCGGAGATATCGCTCATCACATGCAAGGTCTCGAAATCGTTCACGGTCTCAAATTCGTCCGTCAGAAGCAGATCAATTTCATCGACGGCATCGTACGCGCTGCTCCTACGCTTCTCGAGTGGGTCGACGATACCAGAGACTACTGGGATAACACTACTGTCGCGTTAGGTGACTACAGCGTCAGCCGCACGCAGCTCCCCACGAGCCCAATCATCTTTCCCAAGCTGCGCAAGCTCAGCGCTTTCTGGGCAGAGCACTTCATCGAATGCGCCTTTCCGGCCTTGGTAGAAGCACGTCTCAACTCGCAACGAGGCATCTCTTCACTCAGCCCGACCGCTTCGGACGAATCCTGCCGCGTCGCCGCCATTGTCCTCAAAAGCCCCTCGCTCAAGAAGCTCGACATCCTCTTGCCCTCTAGTTACACCGAGATCAAGCAGATTTTTAGTGCCATCGCAACGCTCCCTAAGCTTGAGGAGCTCGGTCTATGGATGACCAGCCCTATGCCCCTGAATGCCTTTGTCAAAGCACAAAAGTCTGGAGGGGACAAAGAAAGCTTCCTCATCCTTCCGCACCTTCAAACCATGCGGCTATGCTATCGGACGGTCTCGGCAAACGATAACTTGCATCACGATTTGAGTGAGCTCCTGTTGCTCCGCTTCTATCTCAAGCACGGCTGCAACTTCAAAGAGGCCAAGGACAGAACCGAAGCGGCATTTCTCGCATACAACATCAACACAATCAACTATCCACCTAGCCGGGGCATGACAAAGGCGCAGAAGAAAAAGTCTATCAACGCCTCGGCCGGCGAGGCGGCCGGCTCCTGCTTCAAAGGTGACTTTACCTTGGTCGACGGTGTCAAGCGTGAGAACTTTTCCTCAGTGCTGCCCAAGCTTATCGTGAGCCGTGGTTTGAGCCAGTACTTCGAGAAACCCACGTCGATGCTCAACCAGCTCATCACACGCATCGTCGAGGTAGATACCAACAAGTACTTTGCCAATCTCGGTGTGGATCCCCATCATGTCGACGCCCGCCGTGGCAATGGCAGGCCCTACTACTAGTAGCGAGGCGAGACACTCTGTGTTGCCCAGCAGGTGAACGTCTACCCTTTTGCCTGCCCTTGTCCTTGTCAAATTCTGGCCATCGTGTCGTTTCTTCATTCATTTTGTCCTCAAAGTGGTTGAATGTAAGTGTCAATGTCGTCGTGGGTGCGTTTGACAATTGAGTGACGAGACATGAGCGTGCTTGTGGATGGTTTGCACAGATCTTCCTGACATTGACTTCGGAGCGCTCGTAGCACGGGAGAAATTCAAGGATAGAAAGGGTGTCAGCCTGCGGAAGATGGCAAGCGGGAACGAGATAAATTGCGAAGATCTCGGCAATCCAAATTTCCTTTCCTGAACATCATCTCGCTTTGACTGTACGACGCGCACGGATCCTTTTATTTTTGCTATCGACTTGATCGCATCCGACGTCTTCTTCTCATTCAGCAGAAATGGTTTGGCTCAATCAGTATACGACGAACGATGTGGCACGTGGTCTCGCACAGGTTGGAGTGGGGATAGTGGTTAGTGGAGCGGTGTATGCGTTGAGTCAGTCGCATGTTGCAGCGCTGTGCAGGTATCTTTGCTCCCGACCTGATGGACGTCGACCAGAGGTTGTGGGTGAAGGGGAGGAGAGAGGTGGGTGGAGGTTGGACTTTGCGCCGTGGGAGATGGGCTGGGTGGATCGAACGGTCTTGATAGTGCTTGGGGTGGCGTACAAGGCGGTGAAAGGGTTGTTCATCAACAGTCTTAGCTTGGATGGAGGGAAGGACACGGTGGAACTGCCGAAACTGCATGTGACGTGCCCGGTGTCGATCAGCGATCGTAATGTGCAGCTTTACGAACGAGCTATTGCACTGCAGGAGGAGCGAAGCTCAAAGGCAAGCGGCAAGAGAATGGCGGATCAGTTCTTGCTGGCAGCAATGACCAACCAGTTGATGCTGTTGTTGGTTGTACATCCTGGACTGCCGGTTTCGCCTCTGGGTGGTGTCAACGTCAGGAATCGGATCGAGTTTTTCTCGGGCAGTGACGATACTCTGCGGGACATGACGGCGTACGCAACCGTCGGTGGCAAGAATAACCTCGCCAGAGTGGTCAAGAGAGGTATCGAGTTCGACATTCACGTCGACATTCGATCCACCCGCAGCAACAACAATCTCGTTCTACGTCAGATCATCACCATCCTCGCTCCCTGCAAGACCAAACCGTCGACATCGAAAGCAACGACGACCTCGACGGAGGAGAAGGAGGACGAGGTAGAGTACAACACCATCGGTCAGGTTGAAATGTCATCTTCGGCTCCAGGACTTTGGTGTCGAGTGTGTGGGGATTACAACCCGATCCACGTCTCGTCGCTGCTAGCGAAGCTTTTTGGGTTCCCTGGAAAGATCGCTCATGGCAATCACGTCGTTGCAAAGACGTTGAAGATGATGGATTGTGAAGGCAAGATGGAAGGATGCGGGCAAGGCAAGGACCGGTGGGTCGAGATGCAGTTTAGACGTCCGATGGTCCTTCCCATCCGACTCGGGGTAGAAGTCGGTGCAGGGAACAGCAATGACCTTGTGCATTGGCAGTGCGTTGGCAAGCAAGGCAAAGTTCATGTCACCGGAACGGTTGGTCAGATGTAAATGCAAGAAACGTCCAACCTTGTTTAGCGTGGAACCGTCGCAGCGCTAAGCCTGCATGGATTCATTTTGCCACGCTGACCTAAACGGCTAGCCTGCTCGCCGGTGCCTGCTGATGCAGCGAGACGAAGGACGCGTATTCGTTCGGCCCTCACACAGGCTTTCTCCAGAGACCTTGTTCTGCACATCGCTCATTCTCAGAGCGCGAGCGTTACGTCCAACCCCACAAAAGGAAGGAAAAGAACATTTTGCGGGGAGTTCGACGATTGAGGGGAGGACAACTGTGGGGAAGCCTCCTTGCCTCTCCGGGAATCTCGTCCGATTCGTCGGCTTGTCTACCGCCAACTTCGGTAGCAAAGGTCACGATGGTCTGCAGTGCTCACACGTTTTTGACAGATGCGCGGAGGAGATCACCAGGCCGACACCGGTGACTTTGGAAGATCACGCTCCTGAGGGCCGAACTAGACTCTCGCTTCGCGTGGCAGATGGTGAAACAGCAACGGCGGCCACGCGCCTACAGGGCAACGGGATGCGGCAACAGCGACGCCGAAAAGCAGCAACGTGTACTGTACCGGTCGGCGGTGTGCGATGCGCTTTTGCAACATGACAGAAGCTGCGAGGGAATTTGGTGCAAGCGATCATGCACGCCATGCATGGCATTCGGCTAAGCTTTCTCTTAGCGCCGTTTTTTGTTGCATGAAAGTAGCGCTAAACGTCTGAACATCGTGGCAGCGCGTGACCGGGATGAAGGTACAGGTTCCCAGCCCACACCTTTCCGCCGTGTGTCCAATAGAGTGCTTCGAACTGTTTGGCGCTCTGGCGCTCCCTCGATGACCAGATTTGGAAAGTGATTCGATATCTCTGATGCTGTCAAGGTGTGCTGAGCAGGAAAAAGATGAGCCGAGAAAAGGGTCTCTCGCTATTTGACACCGGCGACGTTTCGGACTGGTAGTCTCCGTCCGTCCGCAAATCTCGCATGAACTGTCGTGTCATTTGCGCTGAGCGTTGGTCTGAGACGAGCGATCAATAGCTTTCCGACTCGTTTCGAGCGGCAATACAAGACAATGTTATACGCGCGGTGGTGCGATTCCCGTCCACAGTCATCATCGCCTGCTTCCGAGAACATTGGGAAAAAGCAGGACGATGGAGCCGTATTCGAGACTTCGGGCGGACTTGCACCCGGAACAGAAGTTGCTACAACACTCAGTCGTGATGCATGCTAAGACGGCGTCGTTGTCAGGTTGCACGGTGCAGTACTTGCGACGGTGCAGAGAACACGATGCATACGCGAAGCTTCGTAGGAAGGGAGAGCGAGGAGTGAAGTGGATTGCCGGTCGTCACCGGCCAGTGCAGAGCTCCCTAGCAGCAATTCGTATTGGACATCTCGGCAATGCTCTCATGGAAGTGAGCTCTGCCAACCAGGGTGCGTGCTTGCAGCTGCAGCCACCTTCGGGGAGCTTGAGAAACTACTACACAAAGGTAGCTAACTCGGACAGCAGAGTTCTTCGTGCTGTCTTTCAAGGCTTGCTGAAGTCTCGTTTACCTATATAAGCTGGTCCACTTGCTCCCCCACTCATCAACCTCGGACTCCTACAACCAAGGACCTCAACTCATCTCGATCATCACAATGAAGACCAACTTCCTCGCACTGCTCTCAACGCTCGTCGTGGCCACCTCGGCCGTGACCGCCTCGGTCATCCCATCCACTGGTGACAACCAAGTGCTCTCCGAGCGAGCTGCTTCGACTCTCAACGCCGCCATCGTTGCCCGAGGACGCAAGTACTATGGCACCGCCACCGATCAGGGCGACTTCTCCAACTCGAACCTCAACAACATCATCAAGGCCGAATTTGGTGCAGTCACCCCGGAGAACTCGATGAAGTGGGATGCCACTCAACCCCAGCGCGGCACATTCAACTTCAACGGTGCTGATGCTCTCGTCAACTACGCCCAACAGAACGGCAAGCTCATCCGCGGTCACACCCTTGTCTGGCACTCTCAGCTCCCTTCCTGGGTTTCCTCCATCACCGACCCCAACGACCTCACCAGCGTTATCCAGAACCGAATCGCCACCGTCATGGGCAGGTACAAGGGCAAGATCTACGCCTGGGACGTCGTCAACGAGATGTTCAACGAGGACGGCTCGTTCCGTCAGAGCGTCTTCTACAAGGTTCTCGGCGAGAACTTTGTCAAGATCGCATTCGAGGCGGCAAGGAAGGCGGATCCCAACGCCAAGCTCTACATCAACGACTACAACCTCGACGACCCCAACTACGCCAAGCTCACCTCGTTGGTGAGCAACGTCAAGAAGTGGCGATCGCAAGGTATCCCCATCGACGGCATCGGATCGCAGTCGCACTTGCAGGCTCCCGGTGGATTCCCAGACGCTTCCAAGGTTCAGGCCGCCATGGCTTCGCTTTGCGGCGCTGCTTCGGAGTGTGCCATGACCGAGCTCGACATTGCTCAGGCCGACACTACCTCGTACACCAAGGCTACCCAGGCCTGTCTCGCGCAGAAGAACTGCGTCGGCATCACTGGTGAGTATAAAACTTTGCAACATGGCATCAATTGAATGGAAGAAGAGGATCGTGTTGCTGACATCTCTCTTCATGCAACTCGCCTTCACATCGCAGTCTGGGGTGTGTCAGACAACACCTCCTGGCGAAGCAGCTCCAACCCACTTCTTTGGAACGGCAGCTACCAGAAGAAGCCCGCGTACTCCGCCGTGCTCAACACTCTCAACTCCGCCTAGGCTTGACGCTCCGATCGATCATCAGTCTTGGTTGCGCTCAAAACGGAAAAACTCTCCCTATGTGTTTGGCTTGATATGGAAATGGAAAGCGGTTCGATTCAACGTCGGGAAGTGTGACTTAGACGGAGGCTCTGGCTTCTGAAAGACAATGAAAGACTGTGTCTTGACTTGGATCCCAGTGCCTTGCCAGCCTGGTATGACCAACTCGCGACCACACCAATCACTTCCTCTCCTTGAGCTTGACCGACAACTTGTGATACCGCATCGAGACGAAAGCGTCCCTCACACCATCCACAAACCGGTCAGCATCAAAGCCATCCGCCTTGACCATGTCGAACTTTCTCGTCAAGTTTGCGATCACCAACCTCATCTCCATGCGTGCTAGCCTCCTTCCTGGGCACGAATGTCGGCCCGCCGAAAAGGGGACAAAAGCTTCCCTGTTCATTTTGTCTTCCTTCTCGGGATACATCCATCGCTCAGGTCGGAAGGCATCAGGTTCCGGGCTGAAGTTGCGTGGATCGCGATGCATTGTGTAGGTCGGAACGGTGATGATCGTGTCGGTGGGAACGACGTGGATCTCGCCGGAGTGGAGACGGATTGTGACTGGACCGCGCCTGTTGACTTTCTGCAACCCAGGAGCGACGGGAGGATAGAGTCGCATGGATTCGTCGATGACGGCATTAAGCAATGGACAGGAGGAGTCGAGCAGCGAGGAATCGGATACGACGGATCCGTTGTATTTGCCAAACGCTTCATCGAGCTCCTCTCGCAACTCGTCCACCACTTTCGGATGTTGCACCAGCAAGAAGAGCGTCATCGCCATGACGCTCGCGCCGGTATCGCTTCCAGCGACCATGATGTTGACCGCCTCGGCAAACTCTTCGCCGCTTTTGGCATGGAGATCTTCGTGGATCGATGGATCCCGTCTCTGCCTGGCATGCTCTTTGAGAACCTCCATGATGTCCGGATTTGCTTGCTCGCCGTGCTGGAGACGACCGGCGAGCTGTTCCCTCACCAACTGATAGAATGGCTCGATGGGGTTTGGCACGAGAGCCAAGAGCTCGCACACGTACGGTCGGTGGCCGGCCACCTGGCTGAACCAGACGTTGGCTTCGAGAAGTTCCAAGATGGGCGTCAGCTTCCCCTGCTCAAGAAGGGAGAGGTTACGTCCGAACCCGACGTGGGAGATGAGGTCGAAACTGTACAACATCATCCAGTCGTCAATATGCACCGTTTCGCCCGAAGCAGCTCGCTTGCTCAACTGGCTGAGCAGAACGTCCAGGTTGTCCATCATGGCGGGCTCGTATCCTTTGAGAGCCCTGCTTGTGAAGGCAGCTTCCCAGGCTTTACGTCGTTGCTGGTGCTGTTCGCGATCGACAATGGTGAACAACGAACGGACGAACTTTTGCCCACGCCCACCGGGGATGACATCGTACCATGAACCCTTGTCGCACGCACTGTTGTTGGAGCTGATGACGGCGATGGCGTGAGGTGAGCTGATGCTAATTTCACGTGGTCCGGTACGGACCAAGTCGCCGTACTTGAGGTGGGCTTGGTGCACCACTCGAGGTCGCAGGCCATGGATGTCGGTGGTGAGTAGAGTCCACTTAGAGAGAGCCCATGACTTTGGACCAGGGTAGTGCGCAGTTCGATGGAAGAACAGCCGGAAGAAACCAATGCTGATCAGAACAAAAACGGTATAGAGGGTCAGGTCGGCATATGTAGTGAGGACGGCGTTGAAGAGGTTACCGGGGCAGTAAGCATGACGGAGACCAACATCGAGCGCAAATAGAAGCGTGTAGAGCAGAGCTAGCTGTCTGGGCCAGAGCTCGACCAGACGGAATAGGAGCAGATGAGACGAGAAAGCGAGTGTCGCGATCAGCATCCACCCATTCTGCTTGAGGGAGCAGAAGGTCGGCGGCTGCGAAGTCATTATGGCTGATGAAAGATCGATGGGGGCCACCGACGACACAAGACAGAGTAAAGCAGACATGAACACTTCCGCTCTTTATATCCCATCTACGCTTCACTTCATTGCAGAGTGAGCTCGCCCATTGATGCATCGTGCAGACGCAGTTGAGCAGCGGACAAATGTTGGCTGAAGCGTTCCTGTTCGCTGAGTCGGCACGTCACAATAAGGTTGAGGACTGTCATGATGCCCGAAAGCCTGTCTGGCCGATTCAGCGAACAGCACGCAACTCAACTTCGGCTAAAGGACCCATCGCATAGTCGGGAACAGAGCTTCCTCACCGGTGTTTTCGCCCGACGATGTCAAAGCAAAGCTACAGTCGGCGGTTGTACCTGCACCGGCAAATCATCGGATGGACGCACGAGGCGGTGGAGTCTGGATCATAATAGTAGTAGCGGTCCCTTTCTCCCTTGCAACCCGAATCGGCGCTGGGCCTTGCGTGCCAGCCATTCCGAAGGGCTCGGGAAGCGAAGGTCGTTAAGCGATCTTTGTAAATATCCAAGCGAGTCACTGCTGGGGCGCGACCTTGGGAACGTGTCATGCGCGGATAAAGGGGATCGATCAGGTTGTGGTATCGACTCTGTCTAGAACCTCTCAGAGCTGAGCCGGGAAAACTTGCACATCAGATAGTGCACATTCGAGTCTTCAGACGACCGCGGCAACAGCAGCAGTGACGATGGTGGGCGAAGGACTAAGAGGTTGAATGATGAATACCACGCACGTTGAACAAAGTAAAAGGTGACAATTGAAAGCGAAAGGAAGATCAAGTTGCAAGTCCGTTTGGAAGCTGTAGGAGTAATTTGCGCGCTCTCATCAGAATCCGGCGTTGAAAGGCTTGCCGTAAGCAGACTGCTTGCCGTTCAGGGAGCGGAACTGGCTCGCCAGGTCGCCTCCGAGCACGTCTTCCGCAGGCGGAGGTGTTGCAGGTACACCACCGCCGCATGCAACTTTCGGTGCTTGACCCTTATAGGCCTTGCTCAACCAGTCGATACCAGGCAACAACCCCAAGAGCTCGGCAGAAATGTGCTCGGCAATTGGGTAGACCTTTCAGTGCAGAAGATGACGAACAGAAGAGGAGGGTGAAAGCGGGTCAGCGTCAGTGGTTCGCAAGGCCAAAGCGGCCAAAGTTGATGCTGTGAAGCGATGATACTTACGTTCCAGTTAATGTCGGCGCCCTTGGCACACTGTTCAGTGACATAATCTTGTGCCGGTTGGAAAGGAACAATCTCGTCTGGTAGCGCGTGCCACATGAATCGCGGGAATTTGGGGACGGGAACTGTGTAGCTCGCTTCGGCTTGCACCAGCGTTTCGGTCTTGAGGATGCTGACAATGGGCTCTTCATTGAGCAGGTTGGTGTCGTTGACGAGCGAGAAGACGTCAAGGAAAGGATAACCCAGAGCAACTTGGCCGATACATTCACCACGGCTTCGGATCTGGGCCAAGGTTTGGTTGCCCTTGGCATTGAGGCGCGGCTTGATGAAAGCCTCCATGTCCGGATGACCGAGGGCAAGGCCCGAGACGCCCGCAAGGGCAAAGCCGGAGAAGATGCTCTTGCCGTTGAGGAAGGTGAAGGTGTCCTTGGCGCTTGCAGGAAGTCCTCCGTAGGCAGCGCCGATGATGTTGAGCTCGGAAGCGTACGAGCCAGCCAGGTTAACGGCCCATCCGGTGGTATGGGCACCTCCGCTGTATCCATACATTCCGATGGGGCTGTCCTTGGGCAAGTTGGCGTAGTTCTGGAGCGCGCGAATGCCGTCGAGGACGGCCTTACCTTCCTCGTACCCGGCGATGAAGGCAGCTCTGGGACCTTCATCGTCGGACGAAACGACGTAGTAGCCCTGCTGGAGCGCCCAGCTGATGACGATGGGTGTGTCCAAGATGACGGTGCCCTTGCCTGGCTTGTCCAAGCCGGTGACATAGCTGTAGCTCGGAGCGCAGTCGATCTGGGTGGCATCCATGTAGACTTGGTAGCTGAAGATCTTGGGCGGCGATGCAGGCTTGGAGGGGATCCAGACAGTCGCGAGGTTGGACTGCGCCTGGTTTTGCGTGTTTGTGGTACGGTACTTGACCTGGAAGGTGTTCACGTTGTTGATAGAGCCAATCTCGGTGTCTACCTTTCGAGACTGAATGACTTGGCCATTGGCGTACGAGGCGATGTTGGACGGCTGGGCGTAAAAAGGATCATCGTTTGGATCCGGCAACGTCTCCCTGGTATGCATGGGCACGGCGAACGCCGCGGTGGCTGCGGCGGCCAGGGCAATGACAGCCTGCACGGCAGAGAATCTCATCTTCTATGAGAGGAGCGACTAACAGTTGGCAAAGAGGGGAGGATTAGGGATCGATGGTAGGGGCATCATCACGATGCACAGATTCGACATTATATACACCTGCCAGCTGCTTGCCAAGGAACGCAGACAGAGCCTTGTTGTGAAAAGCAGCGAATTCTGCCGCTGCTGCGCTGACGGAAGTTGACCAAGTCAATGTAGCAGCTGATCAGGGGGGGGCTCATCGCACTTTGGACTGTGGGGCCTCTTCGAAGCACATTGAGCGAGCCGACCTCGGGATTGATCTCGCGAAGCCCGGAAGCGACAGGAAAAGTGATTGTTTGCTTTCTTGTACCTTTGAACAGCCGGTGCATGTGGGTGTCAAATGACAGTTCGTTGCGAGGTTGAGCTCGCCAACGCTCTGGTTAGCGCGTCCATTTGTGTGGTATGCAAGACTTGGCCTGCAGAAGGAAGCTAAGGATGTGCAGGGTGCAGAAAGGTGGCGCTGAATTCCGCTACTAGCGTCCTCATATTCGGCTAGGGGTGACCCTTTCTGACCGCAATTGCCAGGATTAGAATGGCACACTGAATCGATCAATGCGAGCACATGCAACAGAATGCGCGCTCTATAGGCGAACCCATCGGAGGGCGCACGGAATAGTTAGCCGAGACAAAACACCCGCGACTAAGAAAGCTGCAGTAGAGTGTATCAATAGAGATGGAATTCCGACAAGGCTCTAATGGTGACAGATGAGATCGAGCAAGTGTATGAAAGGCACGGATCGTTCAGCCTGGCGAGAGAGATTCATGTCATTTGCTCTCAGCTCTCTTCGCCTGTAGCTGTCGTGTTTAAGCATTCGTGATATGAACTCGTACCGGTCACTTGGATCGCGCTGTGCAGCTCGACCGTTTCAGGGTCTACGAAATGTTCGAGTTCGGCGAGATGCAAATAAGCTAGTAGACGTGCGTCGATTTTTTTAACCAGACAATAGAGGAGAACCCATTCAGTCACCGCCAATCGAAATACTGACCTGCCTCTGAGCGTGTTCGATATGGCAAACCCGTTGTCCATTTCTTTCCGCGCTCCTCGGTCGCTCTCGACGGATCTACCTGAGACACTCAGACACTGGAATTATATGAGTCGACCAGGAGCTTCGCGTTCCACCCCGCTGAACCTGCCCAGTGTCAGAGGCAGCCAAGCTGAATTAGGCGAGCCAATTCCGAAGGAGAAGCGGGGAAATGCTTCTGTCGCGAAAGTCTGAGTGCCGCTTGGTCGGAGCACAGCTTGCCGACGGCGGCGGCTAGTACAAGTGCGGACCTAGAACCTTGAAGCTGCCACTACATGTCGATCGCACGCAACCGATCATGTGAAAGCAGCAAATACGTAAGGTGGGTACAGTGTACGACCTTGCCACGAGAGCCTAAGTCAATTTGTCTCGGCGCGATGTGGTACAATACGCTATGCAACCACATCGCCGATGCAGATGTAGGCCGATTTTCGGCACCTCAATTCTTGGTACAATTTATTTCAAATGAAATTCACTGAGAAGCTGTCAGAAAAAGCTAAAAAAGCATGCTTGAGACGCGGCGTCAGCTTGGCCTCGACAGGCCTCGGCCCGGCGGCACAATATTTGGTGCAATGCTCGCACCACTCGTTACTGATCCTTCTTCTCTCCGCCATGGTCATGAACCACTTTTCCTCAAGACACCGGCAAGTCTTGATCACACGCTGACAATGCCGGCCAGTGCGGAGCCAAATTCGGGGTCGACTCCTACGACAGCGTCCGACAATGACGATACAGCGTGGAGTCGCGATGTCTGGCTTCTTTTGGCAGCTCGATTTGTGCGAATGTCGGCCTTTGGGTCGTCATCGCTGGTGCTCGCGCTCTTCTTATCCGCGCTTGGACAAACGCCCGTCCAGGTCGGTCGGTTCTTGACGCTGACGCTGATCGGCGACTTCCTGCTTTCCCTCTTGCTCACCTTTGTCGCCGACTCGGTGCTTGGTCGACGAAACACGCTTCGTCTCGGCGCCCTCTCCATGCTCCTCTCTGGCTTGGTGTTTGCGACCACAACCAATGTCGACTACCTGCTACCAGCAGCTATATTCGGTGTTATTAGTCCATCCGGCGGAGAGATCGGTCCCTTCAGAGCAGTGGAGCAGAGCATTCTGGCAACGCTAGTCGATAAACAGCACAGACCCGCACTGTTTGGCTGGTATGTCGTTACAGGCGCATATGCTGCTAGTTTGGCAACAGGGCTAGGCGGGTTGCTTAACAGGTTCGTACAAGGTGGCAGCAAGGAATCATCGATGGTATATTATAGGGGTGTCTTTGTCTGGTATGCCTTGATGGGATTGATCAAGTTGCTGCTCTCTTTATCGCTCAGTCAGCGCTGCGAGGCGGCGACATTCCGAAACGCTCCTTCACCTTCGGCATCGAGTCAGTCTCAGACCGAGGCCAGCGAACGAGATCCGTTGCTTCCCGGCTCAAACACGTCCGCTACAACAGAGCACGAAGAGCAAGGCTTCAGCCACGCTCGATTCACACTTCTCTGCTCGCTCTTTGCTATCGATTCTCTCGGAAGCGGTATGGCATCGCAGACGCTCACATCCTGGTTCCTGTCACGCAAATTCAACGCAGAGCTTGCGTCGCTCGGTGGCATCCTTTCGCTAGCATTGCTCGTCTCGGCTACGTCCAATCTCTTCTCCGCGCGTCTCGCCAATCGCCTCGGACTCGTACCCACCATGGTGTTCACGCACCTTCCAGCCAACATCTTTCTCGCCATGACTCCGCTTCCGTCCAGCTTGGGTCTCACTTCAGCAATGATCGTGGCAAGAGCAGCGACATCGTCCATGGACCAAGCTCCGCGTTCGGCCTTCCTGTCTGCGTTCGTGCCAGATCATCAAAGGACTAGGGTGCTTGGTTTGGTCAACACGGTGCAGACACTGGCGCAATCAGCTGGGCCATCGCTCACAGGCTGGTTTGCTGATATGGGAAGCATGGGCTGGGCCTTCCACATGGCTGGTTTGCTCAAGATTGGATACGACCTGGGTCTGCTAGCAGCTTTCTCTGCTGTCAACTAGACTTTAAAAGCTGAAGTGCAAAACACGATAGATGAAATACAGGACAATGCTCTAGAGCTGTTCGGCAGGCAATAGCTGACCAGTGCATTCGCCGAACCCGATGTGAAGCTTCGAGTCTGCGTCATAGGCTGAGCCAGTTATCCTGATCTCGTCTCCGTCCTCGAGGAAAGTCCTCGTCTGCGCTTCTCCGCCCTTCTGTGTTACCAGCGGAATGGGTTGACGGCCGGCTTTGCATGCTTCGATCAGCGATGCTTCGCTGTGGGGATCCTCGAAAGGTCCCGACACGGTTCCTGTGGCAAAGGTGTCGGCGGCTCGAAGATTGCACCCTGTGACAGTGTGGTGAGCTACCATCTGCGCTGCTGTCCAGTAGACGTGCTTGAGCGACGTGTCGGTAATCTTTGTCCATGTCTTGACATCGCCCGCAGAAGAGGGGGCGAGATGCGCCTGAAGGTTGACGTCCCACGTGGTGCCCTTGCCCTTGTGATCGAGGTAGGCGAACGGAGTGTGCTCGACTGTTGGCGATGCGACACGGAAAGGTTCCAGCGCGGCCAGCTCGACGAGGTAAGGCGAGAGAGTGGTGGCAAAATTCTTGCCTGTAAATGGTCCCAGTGGGTTCATCTCGTAACCCTGAATGTCGCGAGCCGACCAATCGTTCATGAGCATCATGCCGAAAATGAGCTCTTCAGCATGCTCGAGACCAACCGGGCGTCCAAGTGCATTGAGGTCTTCCGAATCTGCCGCTCCTTGACCACCGACTACGAAGGCAACTTCAAGCTCAAAGTCCATACGCTTCGAGGGACCAAATTCGACGTCGGGAGAGCCAGGCTTTGTACGGAAGATGCCGCGAGGACGAGCAAAATTGGTGCCAGAAATGACGAGCGAAGACGAGCGACCGTGATAACCGATGGGAAGCTGGTACCACTGATCTTCGAGAGGCCGCGTGGGATCGTTGAACATGAGCCGACCTGTCGAAGTGCAGTGGTATTTTGAGGCGCAAAAGTCGGTGTAGTCGCCTGCTCGGATGGGAAGATGCAACGTGGCTCTCTCGACGGGGATCAGGACGTCGTCGAGCAGCTGCGGTCGAGAAGCAAAGACGGGAGAGCCGGCGCTCAAGATGTGCTGAAGGAAGCCGCGGAAGGCTTGGTGGATGTGACGCGGCTGTGCCAGGTACGCATTCAGCGTTGATTGCGAGAACAGCGATGCGGCCTGATCGGCACTGAAAGGACTATCCGAGAACGCATCAGCCGCTGCGCTGCTTAGTTGCGTCAGGTCGACAAGCTGGTCTGCGATACGAACAGCGCATCGTCGAGTCGGATCCTGCGTTGTCGAGAAGACCGTCCACGGCAGGTTCTCGAGGGGGAACGGATGGTCCGCTGCGTAAGTCACGACGCTCTCGAGCCGCTCGATTGGATTCGTCTTGGTCATGGCTGATTTCTCAAAATCGTACCCTGTCTCTGAGTACGAAGGCGAAAGTGAGACGTCACTTTAGTGATAAGTTAGGTCGACAGCAGACTGGCGTTACTGGCTGTATAATCTTGTACTTGTATAAGTATACCCACGGACCCCGTTGAGAAGGACAGGCCCATCAACCGGATCGTTAACGGCCAGCCGGCCCTGAGGGTCCGGATAGAGCCTGCTCACAGAAATCTGCGTGCTGATACATGGCTCAGGGTGGAGAGAGTGCCTGGTCGGTCGGTGCGGCTGAGGTGGGGGTGATTTGCTTCGGGGACCTTGCGGCAGCGAAAGACCGGTCCATACCGACGACGTAACATCAATACTATCCGGAATTCGCCAAATCAGTCCGACAAAGCAATTAAGCCGAGTCGGACAGCTGCGACATCGGGCATTCAGAGAGGTCACTCAATCGGCGATATTGTGTCTGGCTACAGTGTGGTCCATCACAAACTCGCTTGGCCCTCTTCCTTTGGCTAGGTGCGCGCAGCACCTTCGTGCACTAATGCCGGTCCTTGAAAGCCGCATCGATCCCGTCTGCAGTGTCTGTAGCACAAACTGCCCTTCTTTGGGCTCGTGACCCTTACCTCGAGCTCCAACCTCACCACGTTGCTCACACGGAAGCTGACGTCTCTGGCTGGCATGAATCATGTGAGGTTTGTATAGCTGTTCGGGCTCGCACGTCCGTGGAAGCATGTTTCGACTGCGATTTGAACGATACGTGCGAACGACGACTTCTTTGGCCGTCATGCAAGAGACACTGGTCAAAAGCAGATCTGTAATCGTACTGAAACATGCAAAGTTCATTGAGGCGGGAACTTGGCGGAGCGCGCTGTGTCGCCTCCAAATTTTCGGGCAAGGCTGCACGCTCCCGCGCAGTGAACCCCATCCTGGCCGAATTTGTCGAATTTGGGCACTTCCGCCTCACGTCTGAGTTAGCGGCCCCACAATCTCTCTCCACGGGGCAAAGCAGTGATGTGGACGGATTCCATGGTGGAGCTCGCGCCACGCCGCAGTGCTCGCCAGCGCTCATCCTCGAAGCCTCACTAAGCGTGCAGATTATGGGGCAAGGCGTGCATGAGTATATGAGGCGAATGACACCTAAGACGATGAGGGCAGATTCAAGTTTCCGGATTGATCACGCTTCGAGCTATTCGTTCTTTATCCTCCGCACTCAGCACTTCCTACAGACAAGGTCACAAAGATGACGACAAACGAACAAAGGAAGAAGCTTCGGATCATCATTGTAGGCGCAGGTATTGCAGGGTTGGCTGCAGCTAGGGCGCTGAGAGAGGACCACGAGGTCCACATCTTCGAGTCGTCGAGCTTCAAGACTGAAATTGGAGCTGCTATTCAGTAAGTATCTTATGTCACGTCCACTGCGCCTGCGTACCTCTGGGAGATGACAGGAACCTGACCGTACCCTCGAATCGTCGTCGCCCAACAGCACCGGTCCCAATGCTACTCGGATCCTGCTCAAGTGGGGCATGGATCTCGAGCGACTCGAGTCGCCAAACTGTCGCAACATTTACGAGTACAACATCTCTGGCAAGCTCGTAATGCATCGCCCTCTCAACACCGTCGACATCTTTGGAGCGCCTTGGCTGCTCAACCACCGTATCTCATTGCACAAAGAGCTGCAGTATCTGGCAACTTCGGATGACCCCGCTCTTCCGGGAGAGCCTGCTAAGCTGCACCTGGCAAGCAAAGTCGTCGACGTCGATGGCGAGGCGGGTACTATCACGCTTGCTGACGGCTCCACCTTTCAGGGCGACATCATCGTCGGAGGCGACGGAATCAAGAGCTTGTTGCAGAAGTACGTGCTGGGACGACCTGCCAATGCCCAGCCCAGCGGTCACTCTGCCTATCGTTTGCTGATCCCTTTCGAAAAACTGCGCGAGCTTAACGATGAGGAGGTCAACAAGAGCATGGCTGCACCTTCGCTCACCATGTTTGTCGGACAAGACAGAAGGGTGGTCTGCTATACGTGCAAGTACGATGGACGCGATCTGCTCAACGTTGTCGCCATGGTACCTGACGAGGGACTCTTCGAGAACTCCACCGAGTCGTGGAGTGCTCAAGGGTCACTTTCCGACTTGGCCGCTTCCTTTGCTGAATTTCCCCCAACGGCGAAGAAGATCCTGGGTCAAGCTACTGAGTGCGGTCTTTACCAGCTCCGCGATCAAGACCCTCTGGAGCTGTGGCATCGCAACCGTGTTCTCATCATCGGCGATGCAGCCCACCCAATGCTGCCTCATCTTGGTCAGGGTGGCTCGCAGGCCATTGAGGATGCTGAAGCTCTGGCCTACGTCCTCAAGACCACCGAAGGCTTGCCTCAGCTCGAAAACGTCAAGGGAGCACTCGAGCGTCTGCAGACTCTGAGGCACTATCGAGCCACTGTCTCGCAGGAACGTTCGAGGTCGCAGGCTCTTGGACCTCGACCTGGCTCGCAGGAAGAGATGCTGGGCAAGAACACGTTCGAGTTCACTCGCTTCTTGTACGACTACTTTGGCGCAGAGGACTGGGAGAAGAGGGTCAAAGAGGGCCGCACAGGAAAGCAGGATGACGTTCCGATGAAGGTCTCGCAACAGCACGCTGCTGCGGCCGACGTCAAGGCGACTCCTGCTTCCGTCAGCGCCTGAACATTTCAGTGTCGCTTCGTCATTTTGGAATTGCATCTCGTCTTCCGTCAAATCGCAGTCGTCTAGGTTCTAGCCTGAAGCAATCACGACAAAATCTGAGTCGATCTTGAGCTAGACACAAGCGCGTTGAGAGTTGTTATGAACGAGCTGACTCAAGCCGCATGAACCATGCGCTAGAAGAAGATGTTAGACAAATTGGCATTGAGCCGTGTTGATTGCACGGTGAGAACAAGCTATCGTTTACTGAATAATAGGAAGAACGAGACAGCTGGCTAGCACTTCACTACCGAGAACGGGCGTCTTGCTACTGATGCCGAGCGTGTCGACCTTCTCGGACTGGACTGCACCCGTGTGGATGGTGTTTACACCTGTCAGCTTGTCCTTGACTCGGTCATGAGGGTGAGTGTGGGTGAACACACCGCCACCCTGCTGATCTTGAGGTCCGACTTCGAGCTGCAAAGTGTGACCGGCAGGGATGACGACGTTGGTGGGCCAGATCTCGACATCCATCGCGTAGATTTTGCCTGCTTCGACGGGCGCCACTTCGGTGCTGCGATAATTGCGGTGAGGCAGGACCTCTGAGCTCTTGCCTTGGTCCACCTTGCGAACGGATGCGCGCAGCCAGCCTTTGACGATAGGGCATGGGTCACCTGCAGTGCCGGTGTACTGGATCTCTTTGCCCTCGGCATTGAGGTGTCGAAGAGTGACAAAGATGTCGGCTTCAGATGGGACCGCTCCAGTCTGTGGGTCGGCATCAACGCTCATTAGCAGACGCAGGTGAGGGTGGCCGGTGATCTCGATCTCGCCCTCGGCGACCTTGTGCTCAAACTTGACACTCTCGCCATCGAAGCCCTTGTAGCACACCTGATCGGCCGAGCTGGGTTGATGACCTTCAACACCGGCAACACCGTTGGTAGCTGCGGCAGCTTGTTGCTGGTCCGTCTTGAGCTGATGGTCAGCCGAGAGGAAGAAGGGTGTGTACGTGGTGTTGGGCAAAGGCCAAGCGGTGGCGATCTTCTCGGGAAACGAGCGGTCGCCCTCGATCGTGTTGAATTTAGGTGAGCCCCTGCGGACGACGTAATTGACCGCGGGAACACCGGCGTCTGCGTTGGGACCCTTCAGCCAGCCGCGATCATCTTTGCCATGAAGGAAGGCGTCCAGGAAGGACTTCTGTAGCTCGACACGCTCAGGCAGGTAGAATGGCAGATCGTGACGGCCAGTGATGAGCCAAAGCCACTTGTTCTTGGAGCCTGCACCAAGGTAGCCAGCGACGTTGCCTCGAAGATGGAGTGCGATGCCACCCAAATTGCCGACGCTCAGCAGCGGAATCTCGATGTCGGCGAGATCGAACTCTCTAGAAGCGTAGTATTCCTGATCGAGGTAGAGGTTCTCAGCATTGTCGACCGTCTGATCAGTGCGGTTCTCTTTGAGCTGTTCGGGCGTGAGAACGCCTTCGATACTTGGCACCTTGGCGTTGCGGCCGGGACCAAACGTCTTCTTCGGAGGCGGCGCGGCAGCACGACCGTACTGATTTGAGTTGATTTGGTAGTTCTGCCACATGGTGACGAAGCCATCGCCGTAGATGCCACCCTTACGGACACGATCGCGGTAGTAGTCTGACATGCCTTCCCAGATGACGCAGGCAGCGAGTCCTTTGGGCTTTCGAGCGGCTACACGCCATTGGCTGCCGGCGTAGTAGGAGATGCCGAGCAATCCGACCTTGCCCGAAGACCAGGGCTGAGAGGCAGCCCATTCGATCGAGTGGAAGAAATTGTTTGCGGTCTGATCGGACATGGTGTCGAGGAAACCGGGTGACTGACCGGTGCCTTGCTCGTCGACTCGAACGACAATAAAGCCTTGACGGGTCCAGTAGGTCGGCTCCGGGACCTCCCATGCGGACAGCTCCGATTTTTGTTCGTCAGGTAGCTCGGCGAAGGACTCGGGGTAGAACTCGGAGTAGGCGATGTCTTTACCGTAAGGGCCGGACGTCATGAGGACAGGATACTTCTTGCCATCAGCGGTGTCTTTGGGACGATATACATCGCAGCGACAAACGTCGTTCTTGCCCTCAAGGCGTGGAATGACGATGTCTACATTACGATCGTGGATCAGACCGAGAACCTCGCGAGTGCTCTTGATGGCGTTAGCTCCCGGTGTGATGGAAGTAGGCAGATGTGCCGCTCTGTGGGCGAGAATGCGAGCTCCTGCTTGCGACATGATTGCTGACCGCTCGATGGGTTGTTTCTCGCCGAACGAGGCTTGGAGAGATAAAAAAGACAAGGATGGTGGTGTCGGATTGAGATTCAACGGTGGACTGACCCAACTTATGGACCCATCAATAGAAGCGGAATGTACAGTCGAACGGTGCTGGATCGCGGCCCATCGAATTGGTGCTGTTGTCTGTGGTCACTGTACACGGACGGCATCCCCTTTGACAGCGGCAGCATGTGGATATTTGTGGGATGGCAGCACGACTACGGCTGAAGGTCACCCCCACTTGGCCGATCCCTGGGCTTTTTTTTGGCATTGCGTGTTCTCAGTGGCGACGCGACTCAGACTTGAAGGCAGGGTCTAATCCCGCGGCAATGCCGTGCCCGTGTCCGAGTGGCTCCACCTGAACCGACTCGTGGTGGGGAGAGACCAAGCTCAGCCATACGAAGCGAGAGTTTGTCGAGGCTAATGGGTGCAGTCACTGTTTGCAGCTCAAGGCAAAGCTCGTTTGCGAGTGCTTGAAAGGTGACTGCGTAAGAATGGACGCTGCGAATCTGATGAGGTGTGTTCTTGATCGTTGTCGCCACCATCCATCTTCAATCCATTCGAATAGGTATATTCAGACAGGCAATTCAACATGGCAGCAGCAGCAGTAGCTTCGAGACCAGCTCCGTCTTCGACCACGGTGACGATGTCGACCACGTCGACGACCACAAGCACATCTAACACGCTCGGTGAACAAACGGGTCGCGCCTCGTTGCTCGAGATCCAGGATCATGCTCGCTTGATCGATCATCATGCCGCGCACACTTCAAGCAGCAGCACTGCCGGCACGTACAACAGCTCGTCAGCACCACGCGCACCTGCCGCGGGGATCTGGACTCCTCCAGCTCCCGCCCACGGTGTCCCTGGAGGAGGACTTGGCGCCGAGTGGACGAATCCAGGTAAGTTCTGACAGCCCGACGCGCATCATGGACAAGAAGACGCTGACCCACGATCTCGCATAATGTTGACAGCCAACTGGCCTGAGCAGCGCGGAACTCCTTCTTACAGACCCATCGACACGAGTTTGGACTTCACACGACGACCTTGGGCCAACACCATCCCTGAGACCATCTTCACAGTTACGATGATCGGTCTCGGTGTGCAGGCCATCGGACTGGCCAACACCTTCTTCAGGTGAGTATGTTTGCGGTTTGCACGAGTGCTGTTTTCCAAACACGTGGACAGCAATGCTCACTCATTTGTTCCGCCTGATTGCCTCTGCTTTTCGGTCTCCAGGCGCACTGTGGGCAAGTTTGACAGCGTTGATCGATTCTTCCGCTATCAAGCGCCTCACGAGCTTTGATAAGATTAGGGTGGCTCCTTTGTGTCCGGCCTTCTCGTTGCAATGCTACACGTTTACCCTTAGTGAGAGACGGCTGCGGCCACATTCTGTATGAAGCTGGATAAAAGCAGCTGAGATGGCGAGGCAGATTTTCCACAGGTTGAAGCCATCAGACACAAGCACAAATGCAGTGTGTCTCACTGGCCGGACGGCCCTGGAGAGCCATCCACCCCCGCAATTCGGCTTTTCTTGTGGTAACCCCGTATTTACGCCCCAAGCAGAGTGACTTTCCCCGGCTTGAAGTGCGTGCGTCTCGACGACAACATATTATAAACATTTAAAGGCACTGACGGTGCGGACCAGTTGCGAAGCGGATGGAATCATCCAGTATTCTTTAGCCGAGTGTATACTCGCGAGAATAACGGTGACAGGCAGAGGCGATTTTCCCAGACGCTTGTGCTGCAGGCGTGTCACTCTTCTTGGCACTGGTGCATACCGCACTGCGTGGTGAACCTCGCTTGCAATGTTGGTGCCTGCCTGCCGACTTGTTCATAACGTCACAAGCGCAGGAGCTTGACGACAAGCTCCCGATACTCACCAAGACGATTTTCGAGGCTTCGGTGCTGATCACGCTTCTGAGGACCTTCTGCAGTCTCCAACGTACGTCGGCAGGAATGCAGTTTGCCACCTGGGCGAGTACACACGGGAAGGGGAGGGCTAGAAGTTCGCCTGCAGATGGACACGAGCACGCCGTGCACCCTCTGGTCATGCGGGCAATTTCGCCTCCGACGTCCGCTCTTGCTCGTGACCAGCTGACCCGTGCACGATGTCCTCCAGACTCCCCTTGCTGGCCCGCTTTCTGTGTGCCACTGGCAATCCATATATAAGCCATCGTGACCCTTCTTGGCCGTTAGCGGCACCACATCCCTTCTACTTCCGTTTCATCCATCCATAGACTCATCCAAAATGGCTGTCGGCGTTGCTTCCAAATTGCTTGATGCGCCCTTTTCCCACGTGATCAACGGCAAGACCGTTGACACAAACGGCTTCAAGACGCTCGACGTCATCGATCCCGCCACCGAAAAGACGATCGCACAGGTTCCCATCGCCACCAAGGAGACCGTGGATCAGGCTGTAGATGCTGCTCAGGCCGCTTTTCCTGCTTGGTCCAAGACCACCTGGGACGAGCGAGCCAAACTGCTCCAGCAGTACGGCGAGGAGTACAAGTCCATGATCCCCGAGCTCGTCAAGCTTCTGACCGCGGAGCAGGGCAAGTCCACCCAATTTGCTCAACACGAATGTGAAAGCATCCTTCCTTGGTTCACCGAGCTCGCAAAGGTTCGCCTCGACGAGAAGGTGGTTCACGAAGATGACACCCACAAGGCCATCGAGCGATACGTTCCCTTGGGAGTGTGCGCCGGCATCGTCCCTTGGAACTTCCCTATCCTCCTCATGCTCTGGAAGGTGACCCAGGCTATTGTCACCGGCAATTGCATCATCATCAAGCCCTCGCCTTTCACCCCCCTCTGCGACATTCGCATCATCGAGGCTGCCCAGAAGTTCTTCCCTGCTGGTGTGGTTCAGATCGTGGTCGGTGACGATAACCTCGGTCCTTGGATCACCGAACACCCGCGCATCCAGAAGATTTCGTTCACAGGCAGCACGGTAACCGGTCGTCTCGTAGCAAAGAGCTGCTCCGCCACCCTCAAGCGCTTCACTCTCGAGCTGGGTGGAAACGATCCCTGTGTCGTTCTCAAGGACCAGAAGGACATGGCCACCACCGCCCAGAATGTTCTGCTCAGCGCCTTCTTCAACAGTGGTCAGGTCTGCATTGCTGCAAAGCGTGTCTACGTCCACGAAGACATCTACGATGAATTCAAGGCAACGCTCGCCGAGGTTGTCAAGCACTTCAAGGTTGGACCAGGTACCGAAGAGGGCGTCATGTTTGGTCCCATCAACAACAAGATGCAGTACAACAAGGTCGGAGAGTTCTTCGAGGAGGCCAAGAAGCAGAACTTCAACATCCTCTCTGGCGGCGACGTCGAGAAGAAGGCCGGATACTTCTATCCGCTCACCATTGTCGACAACCCGCCCGAGGACAGCCGACTGGTTCAAGAGGAGCCCTTCGGTCCCATTGTGCCTCTGCTCAAGTGGAAGGACGAGGCAGACCTCGTGAAGCGCATCAACGAGTCTCAGTGGGGACTTGGAGCCACCGTCTGGTCGTCCGACATTGAGGGTGCCGAACGCATCGGACGACAGATCGAGAGCGGTACGATTTGGATCAACTGTCTCGTTCAACACCACCCCGCCGTGCCATTTGGCGGTATGAAGAGCTCTGGTATCGGCGCTGAGCACGGCAAGAACGGTCTGAGCGCTTACTGCCAGGTCCAAGCTCTCTGGGTCCCCAAAGCTTGAGAGCCGGTGCTTTTTGTATCTAATTGCTCAGTCATGTATGATAGGAATCGACGGAAATCTTACAACGCACAAATGTCTCAATGGAAAGGCGAGAAGTTGCGACTGAACTGTGGCTGACATGCATAAAGTGTGTGAGGCTACCAGCTTCCGAATTGGAACTCTGTCAAGGGTCAAGGCAATGCAACACATGGAACCGAGTCAGTCGGGTTCATTCTACAACCATACCTGCCTCAACGAGGCTGGGAAGGTACTTACGAGAGTTGCACATGTTCTGGAGCTCCCAGCATTCTGCGGTGATTTGGTTCTTCTTTCCCTTGTCCTTCAGCGATCCGGCAGCGCCCGCTACGAACAGCAACGGAGCGTAGTGATCGTCGGTCGCATGGGCGTCTCTGTAGAGCGGATGTCGCATCAGTCTCAGCACTGCTTTGACAAGAGCGGGTCCAGAGTTGTTGACGATGGCATCCTCGACCTCGGTCCTAAAGTCAAGCGCCCATTTGGCGGGTGGTAGGGGCTGGGCAAAGTTGTCGCGGAACATGGTGATTTGTTTCCAGTTGTTTCGGTATAGGTTGTGGACGGTGCCACCTGTACCGATGATGAGCGTGTCTTCGTCGCGGAACGATCGAAGGGCCTTGCCGACGTCGACTAGCAGAGGAGCGTTGTACACCGAAAGACCCGAGATGACGGTCACTTCGGGACACTGACCCTGAGGGTGCTCGGTGGTGGCGGGGAACATCCAGCAGAGGATGATGAAAGTGTCGTGGATCCATTCGAGTTCGGGATCGGTTTTGGCTTTGATACCGTTCTGTTGCAAGCGGGAAACGACTTCGTTGGCCAGCTTAGGGGAGCTGTTGATCTTGTAGTCGACGTAACGAGCGGGCTCGACCCACGCTACCGGCTGCTTCTTGGGGTTGGTAGGATTGGCTGCCACCAAGATCTCGTCGGTGGGTGATTCCCAATGAGCGCCCATCATGATGACACGCTTGATACCGCGTCGCATGGCCTCACGACCCATCTGTTCCCAATATGTTGCCGGCGTGCTCTGCTCTCCGAGCATCATGGTACTTCCATGGCTGAAGAAGAAGACCGGCGTGGTGTTGCTCGTTGACTTGATCGCGGTGGGCATTGTGACTCGCTTTACTGTAGACTTGACGTCGTACGTGTGTTTTGTTCCGAGATGGTGTGTCTCTTGATGGAAGAGCAGGACATATCATTGACGATAAAGCCAAAGCGTGGACTGGAAAGGCTTTCGCCACGCAGACCTGCCAATTCCGAAGATTAGCAACGGGTGGGACGGTCCAAAGCAGCATGGCCGGCTCGAGTGGAGCTCCACCATTCCTCGTCCTCCGCCGCGTTGCTCTTTGCTCATTGAAGCCCACAGCAAACCGTAGGTCGGTACGACCCGTTCAGGTGCTGCCAGGAGCCGGAAAATAAATCTTGATCGTATCAGAAAAGGAAAATGGGAAAATGCTGAATTTCCTTTGCCGCGGAGAACCCTTTGCTTCGAGCGAAATACCCCACTTGGGGCCGAGACTGACACAGTGGGACCGACTTGAAAATCCAAGCTCTTGTTCCCTCGGCAGATAGGTGTCCGAGACGGAATCGAGGGTTTCGGCAGAAGTGGAAGATGCCACGCATCATGGAAAGAAGCGGCGCAAGTTCAAGACTCGGACACGATATCTGTTCACGACAACACTCGAAAGTCTTGACTGTTCCTCCATCTTCATCCTCTTGCTTGCACTCAAACCCAAGCTATCCAACATGAGTACTCAGCTACTTCGAGGCTCCAACAAGGACGACATCTTCGAGGACGAGGCAAAATCGACCGGACAGGCCCTTCCTCCCCAGGTGTATGGATTTGAAGATGTCGTCGATCAAATCGAGGAGGCGCTAGTCGACAAGCGAGTGTCGCACAATCAAGCGTACCGCTTCAAGGTCATCGAGACGATCTTCAACTTCTTCGAAACCAAGCGCAGTCAGCTGCTCGAAGCTGCATCGAAGGATTTCTACGGCAAGGCTGCACGTGCCGAGCTGGAGCTTGACTACGCCTTGACTTTGTCTCAGATCGCGGCTGCTCTGCAGACTCAATGTAAGCCAAACGCTCCCGGCGGCGCTCTGCCTGACCGCTTCTTCAGCAAGTTGTCCACCGAAGTCAAAGGAGGCAGCCACGCGGCACAAGTCAATGTCGCCAGGCCAGTCGGTGCGGTGCTCATCGCAGCGCAGCCAAAACGTCCGTTCGACGACCTCTTCGCGCCGCTCGTGTCAGCTATCGCCGCGGGAAACGTGGTTTGCGTTGTGCTTTCGCCTACGCTGCCCGCCGTCAACAGGTTGATTTTGGAGCAGTTGACCACCGAGCTGCCCAAGTCAGCCGTGTTTTTCGTCAATCCGGTCGATATGGCAGAAGCCCAACAGGGTATTGCCGACCTGCGAAACCTGAACACGGAAGTCTTTGGAATCCAGATCCCAGGATCATCGCATGTAGCGACCCGCGTCACGGTTCCAGGCTCGGCATACATTTCTGCCTCGCTCGTGAACGCTACGAGCAGCTCAATCCCTTCGGTACTCGGCGGATCGCCCTCAAAGGCGATCGCTGCCAGGCTCAGGGACGTTGCAGCTGAGGTGGTGGAGGGTGCAGCCATGTGTCTTGGAAGAGGCGTGGGAGCTCCCAAGTATCTGTTCGTTCACGAGGAGGCATACGCAGCATTCCGCGACGCTCTGATCTTGGCCATCGCAACCTCTTCTGCCAATCTAGCGCCTCGTGATGATGGGTCGCAGCTGGAAGAGACAATCCTGAGCGAGCAGACGACGGGTAGCAAAGTAGGCGTTTCAGGTGGAGCGTCTCGCATTCAGAAGCCGTTCCCGTCCGAGAAGCGGCCTGGCTCGGTAGCTCTCGTAGAGGTCGACATCGAAGCCAGCCGCGCTGCCAAGCTCAGCGCCGTGATCAGCGACCGCAAGGCTGTGGCACAGATCAAGGAGTTGGCAGCGCTGGTGCTCGTGGGTGTCAGCAGCACCGAACACGCATTCGGGCTAGTAGAAGAACTAGGTCTGCAAAAGGGACACATGGTGATCTACTCGCACGATTCTGCCGAGGTTCAGCATGTCCTTCGAGAGCTTGAACCAGCTACGCTGTCGGTCAACCACGTTGCTCCCGAAAACCTCTTCTCGAGCTACGCGCCGAAGCCTGCGGCCTGCAGCGCGGTTCTGCACTACCATGGTCATGCGCTCTCGCGACGCGCCAACTTGATGGAAGAGTCGTCCGGACTTCGATGGCCGCTCGCACTGTTCCAGACCAGCAGCACAGCCTACCTCGCTGGGGTTCGGAGCACATCGTTGGGATTGTCGGGAATCGCCGCTTCATCGGCTGCTTCTCGATCGGCGTTGTCGAGCGCCTCGACGCAACAACGACAGCTCGCCGTCAAGAAGGCGCTCGCCAGTCACATCGCCAAGACAAAACGACTTGCCAGCCGTTCACGTCCTGCGGTCGCTGTCCCCGTGCTACGTGTGTTCTTCCTGCAAGGACTGTTCCTGTTCTGGGGCAGCGCTTTGAGCTGCACCCTAGCTGGTCTCGGCTTTGGCGCTTTCAAGCTTTCGCATTGGGCCTGGATGCGATACATCAGCGCGTCTGCATGATGCACGCGCTCGTATGCAGCAGTCTGTTCTGGGATCACTCTGTCAATAATCAAAAAACCAATCATCTTGACGAAACAGCGTCACTTCCATCACATGACTCAGTCGGCTTGTGGAGCATGTGTACGATGGATTAAGACTCTTCGATCTTACACGAGGCATTTGACTGGAGTGGGCTTGGGGGGAAAGCGGGGCCGAGGTGGGGGCGGGGAAGGGTTCAGTGCTCCGGCAAGCTTGGTTTCGCTGTTGGTGTGCTTGTGTGTGTGTGTGTCGCAGAAAATTGCCGCTCGCACGTAAATGACCGGTAAATCATGTGGTCAAAATGAGTAACTCTGTGACACTACTGGCAGGCGAGCCAATCAAATTTTGTCGGAAACACATCCGATGATTCGGAGTTTCCTGCTTTGCGGCCCTCAGTTCGACAATTTGAACGGGTTGCTTGCATTCATCCGTTAGCACGCACCGCTGCCTCATTTCGGAAGTGCCGGCGTAGTGGAATTTGGCTTGTCGGAACATGACGCTAGTGCGAGCTCTGATCCCTTCGACACCTTACTCGCATTCCTCCTTGCCATCTGCCATCCTCGACTCAGCCCCTCGAGCGCGATCCGAGCTTTAATCATGGTCTTGGCAGTGGCCGCTCCACACAAACGTAGGCGTCTCGACTCGTCGCCATCCGACTCGGACGACCATGACGACGACGACCACCTCGACTCGTCGCGCTCGCCTTCTCCTGCAGCGGGCGCCCAGGCCATCGCAAAGATGATCTCGTCTCAGCGACATCCCTACCATCAGTCAAGTAGTGGCATGTCGCAATCTGGTGCCATCAACGGGCTCGCTGCAGCTATGGATGCACCTGCCTCGTCTTCCTCTTCTTCCGCCCCGACGTCCAAACATCAGTGTGACGTTTGCTCAAAGACGTTTGCGCGACACGAGCACATGCTTCGCCATCGTGCTTCGCATACCGACTCCGCTTCCTACGTTTGCGACGACTGTGGAAAGCGTTTCCGCAGAAGCGACGTCCTACAGCGCCATCGTCGACTGCACGCCGCTCGTAAGGAGCTTTCGCTCGACATCAACAGCTCCAAGCTCACAAAGCGACAAAAGTCGGCGCTCGCTCGCGTCGAAGCCGCCTGCCTCCGTTGCTCGTCCAAGAAGCTCAAATGCGACGCCCAGAAACCTTCGTGCTCGCGCTGTCTTCGCAAGCCAGACGCCAATTGCGTCTATCCCTCTTCCTCCGTCGAGCCATCGCCTTCCTCGCCCCAGCTTCGCAATCGGTCTGCCTCTGTCATGGACGACTCCTGGATGCCAGATTCGTCTGCTGAACTCGACTTCTCTGTCGATGCTTCTGCTTCGCCCGTACCGACATCGACGCCCTATCCCGCTCAAGCACAAGCTATCGATCCTGCCAGCTTCTCCGCCACTGGCTCGTCAATCTCGACCGACCCGTTTCCAGGCTTAACGCCCTCACCGAATCGCGCACTCTATCTGGATCAAAGCTCATCGATGTCAACCGATGCCTTGCCCGCGCATCAGCCATTCTGTCCGAATCAACGAGTGCACTTTGCCGCACCGGCAGCAGCAGCAGCTCCACCCAACTCCGCATCGTCAGTTCAGGATCCGTCCCGCCTCGCAGCGCATGCCGATGCCACAACACCGAGATCTTTCCATCAAGCTGCCTCATCCTTGCATAACCACCAAGCTTCGGACACCCACGTCATCGGCGCGACACCTGGCCTGGTTGACATGGTCCAAAACACAGCGACCATCCTTCAGCCGCCCATCAACGTCGATGATCGCACGCTCAACGATCTGCTCGGCTGGCTTGACGGACCAAAGGCTCTCGACACCATCGCCGCAGGCCAGATTGACTGGATATTTGGTGACAGTCCCGAAGCACCTCAACTTCTCGACTGGTCTCAGATGCAGGACTGGGCCAACTTTAACCTTGCTGCAGTCCCCGGCGACTCTGCTGGTTCTGATGTTCAGCATCCACCTTTTGCAACAACGGAACAACACCAGCCGCCTGCCTCTCTGCACCAACATCGTGCATCCATCGAAGAGGCGATCCCGCACCAGAGTCCGCTCTTTGTCCTCAGTTCCGCCGCCGAGATGATCGACCCTCCCTACCGCACCCCGCAAACTCGATCGCAACACCTTGCTCACCCGCGCTCATCCATCAGCGAGCACCCAGCCGCTTCACCTCGCGTCACCGCAAATTCTCCCCGCAACCATGTCGACCATGTCCATGGTGGCGCCGGAACTGACTCGAAAGCCGTTGCCGGAAGACGATCTCGCTGGAATAGCCCCGAGCTCGCCGACGACGACACGGTCCCCAGCGACTCCGCCAAATCAGATCCGTACGACAGCAAGCGTGACGGCGAGGATGCAGCTCAGATCGATGCGACAAGGGCCGGTGAGCTGCATCCCAGTGCCGCACGCCATCCGAAGTCGACATTGGGGCGAAGAGCAGCCGCGATCGAAGCCTGGCCCAACCGTTGGAACCCAGCCATCAAAGTCAACTCGCTGCCCACCTTCTCCTTTGTGAAGGCTACCGAAGAGCATCTCATGTCCGAAGACATGGCGCACGTCAAATCTGTCGGCCACACAGCCATGTTGCGCATGGCCGAGCACCTTCGCAACGCAGCAAGCGACCCGCTCGAACAAGAACGCTTCGATGCCGCCTTTGCCACGCTCGATGCCGCCACCCTCAACATCTACCTGCAGCTCTTCTTCCACCACTGCTATTCCTACTTGCCTGCGATCCATCAGGTCACGTTTCATCCTGATCGCTGCGATCCTCGCTTGCTAGCCGCGCTCTGCGCTGTTGGTGCCTTTTTCTCCGAAGTGCCAGGTAGCCGGAACGCCGCCATCTACCTTGCCAGTCTCACGCAGATGAGCGTCAGCCGTGCTACGCTCTCCAACAATGCGCTTGCCCGCGTCACCTCGACCTTCCAGTCGATCGCGTTGATCTACATGATCTGGCGAAGTGTCGGCGTCCCGTCTCGTCAGGAGTATGCGGAAGCATTCCGTAGCACCTACTGCACCATGATTCGACGTTGCAGGCTGCTCGAGAACATCTCGCCTCCCAGACTGCCTGCCGAGACCACCCTCGACGAACGCTGGACCGCTTGGGTCTCATGGGAGTCGGGCCGCCGCACGGCTTGGTCAACTTTGGTCTCCGAGACAGAGCTCTCGATGCATTGGAATTTGCCGGAGCCGTTTGCACCGGACGAGCTCACCGGTAAGCTTCCATGCGACGATCGTCTTTGGGAAGCGCCAACCGCCATCGAGTGGGCACAGATGGCCACCTCGCTCTCGTCTCTCCACAGATCGCTACAGGGCGATGCTGATATGCTGCCGCACATAATTGGGCAAGATAGCATCGCTGCCTTCACCTGGCCGGACAACTCATACCAGCTGGACGTGGCACGTGTCTGCGACGTCATTCAGCGTACCGCAAAGTCACAGTCGGTGAGCGAAGCAGAGAGGGAGTCGATCGCGAGACTCTCTCCTTTCAGCCGCCTCTGCGTGGGATCCGCCGTGATGCTGTCGACCCATCACACGATGAAGATGGTACGCTTGTGCTCGATGCTGCTCGGCGACGAAGAGCAGGCTAGGGAGCGCATGCGAAAATACCTCGCTGCCGCCACCGAGGTCTTGAGCACCAATCAAGCCAGGGACGCACGTGTCGATCTCCTGCTGCACGCGATCCAGCTGTTTGAGCTCATCTCTCCCGAGACGCTTCAGGTACTGTCATGCCGACGCGGTGTGCCACGCATGCATGCTGCTCGACGACAGCTTTCGAACGAGCTCAACGAGGTCAAGCCTTGGAAGACGGCGTCGATTGTGTTTCACGCGGGCCAGATGCTTCGTCTCGCCAAACAGAGCTTGCAGAGGGCGCCCGTCGAGTGCCTGCACATCTTCTACGCTGCTATTGCCTTGCAGGCCGTCTCTCTCCTGGTGCTGCAGCAGGATGCGCATGCCCCACCGGCACAGATTGTCCGAATCACGTTCAATGGTCCGGCACGCTCTGCAGCTCCTCGCGCTCCTTCGTCTCGCGTAGCTCACGACGCCCCTATGGGACAGCCTCGACTATGGCGAGCAGACTCCACGGCCTCGGGTGCATCTTCGACGTCACCCTCTTCTGTCGGTGGTGGAGCCGCTCACAGCACCGCTGGTACCAGCGTCACAGGCACCACGCCGACAGATGCACGCTGGCCAGCAGGGTCTGGTGCCAGAACGACGTTTATGCTCGAATCGGTCGGCAACCTTGCCCATCCCATGGCACCCGAGAAAGTGCTGTCGCTGGCATCAAAGTGGCTGAGAGCCAATGACGGCGTCGGTGTTTGGCCCATTGGTCAGTCGCTGGCAAAGATCCTGGACTCGCTCGCTACGCTGACCCCGAAGTAGAGCCCGACTTTCGGTACCATTTCCATGTCGCAATGTTTTTGCATCAATATACCCTGTTGTCGTCATTCGACGAATGGTGTGAGATTAGGAATTCAACAATCCACCATCCATAAATGAAGGTGCTACGTTCGGGCCGTTGCTTTCCCCTTTCAGGAGAAACGCCGTGCATTGTTTGCGCCTGCATCCTCGCGTTGCACTCAGCCTGCTACTAGCCGAGCATCCAGATGCATTCCGCTCTCATTGTGGGCTGAAGACACGCCCATACAATCATCAGGAGCCAATGTTTTGTGGGCTTCGGTGCTGGACTCAGCTGATAGCAGCTCATTTGGTACCGCTATGCACTCCCGCACACCTGCGTTACAGTGCTTCAAGGCGGTGCGATATTCCGTCGTTGACTCGTGACCCCAAGTTCACTTGCAACAAGCTCCTTGACAATGAATGTTTGCGTTGCACAGGTCACGGTGGGCTTGACGCCACTCTGTAAGGGGTGCTGATTCGGTGAGGTGCCTATTAAGCTCCCCTGCAAAGCGACAGACACGAGGTACAGAGAAAGAGGGAGAGACAGAGCTGATAAAAGAGTATATATGGCGGCTCCTCGCTGTTGTCTATTCGAGTGGATCCATCAAGCCCTATTCCCGGAACAAGATCGATCACGATGAAGACTTTCGCGCTGGTCTTTGCCTCTTTGCCCATCTTGGTGGCATGGCTTCCCGCCAACAGCGATGCTGCCCAGCCAAAGATGCAGAAAATGGCTCGACAAGGAACCGATTCTACCGTGGTTCATTTGGAACAGTGTTCGTGAACTCCACAGCATTACGCCTCCGGCATGCTCTACGGCATCTCGGGAACCGATACTCCTCCTGGAGCCTGTAAGTGACCAAGCGCAAAGTTTGCACACAGTCGTCAGATGCCCTGACCTCTCTTGCCTTTTCTTTTGCCTACGCCACTGCAGATCTCGACCGACTTGACATCAACTACATTTCCAGCGGAGGTGCTCAGACGCCCACGTCTGGCTGGGGACACAGCGTCGATGCTTACAAGGCCAGATTTGCCACTGTTGTGCAGGATGCCAAGCGCATCCACGCCCGTGGCGGTGTCCAGGTCATCAAGATCTCGGATCTGTGGGGTGCAGATGCTACTCAGCCCCCCAACTTTCCCTATCCGGGTGACAATGGAGATTGGAGCTCGTACGATCGTTTCATACAGCAGCTCATCTCGGACGTCAAGTCGAGCGGCGTGGCCATCAATGAATGCACACAACTCGAACCGTACAACGAGCCGGACCTTCCCAACCTCTTCTGGCGTCGGAGTCAGGAACAGTACCTGCAAATGTGGCTTCGAGGAACGCGTGCGCTGCGAGCCGCTTTCCCCAAGGGCAGTCGAACATTCCTTCCCATCGTAGGACCGAGCGCTGCCATGCTACCTGGCCCTTCTAACATGTGGTGGAAGAATTTCCTGTCGACGTTGCGGGACAACAGAGACACCGAGCCAGACATTTGGAACTTCCATCTGGAGGGAGGCGACAGCAACGATCCGGTTGCTGCCACCAAATTGTTCAAGCAAGCCTTCGCCGAGTACGGCCTCACGGGGGGGATTGGCTTCGAGAACAACGAGTACGGCTCGCGTGAGCAGCAGCGGCCCGGCTTCGGCGCATGGCATGCAGCTCGGTACGAAAAGGTAAAGTACCATGGTCTGCGCGGCAACTGGGTCGGAGGTGCTCTGCTCCGTGACAATCTGGCCGATCTGTTGTTCAAGGATGCGGGCGGCAAGTATCACACTACGGGCGAGTTCCAAGAATGGGCGACGTACGTCAGACTCAGTGGCTCTCCGTGCAACACCACCGAGGGAACCTCGGTCGACACGTACGGCATCGCCACACCTGCGAACAAGACGGCATCTGCGCTTGTCGGCAACCAAGGCTTTAATGGAACTGTCAACGTCGTGTTCAGCAGCATTACGAGCCTGGGATCCAGCATCAATATGGTCATGGCCGTCGTTTATCGTATCCCATACGACGATGGCCGCGAAGTCACTGGTCTGACGCAGGTATTATCGATGACTATCCGTGTGAGCCAAGACCAGGTCACCGTGCCGATTCAACAGACCAATGCCGACGATGCTTACCTTGTGACCATCCTCGCAGCTTAGTGGTTACACAGCTTCCACTACGCATCCGAGCGCGAACCGAACTTAGCGCATGAAGATGATCATCGGCTGACTTTCTCATTCAGCTGTACTTATCATCGAACTAACTGATCACTTGAAACCCGTTCCTCTACAAGATTCAAAGCGCAGCGTTTGAGTTTGTGCCTGTAAACTCTGGCTCGACCGGCATTCTTGAGCATGGCAAGATACATGAGACCTGCTAGATCAAAGCTCACTTCCATGGTGCTCTGATTTTGCTCGAGTGCGGTGCAAGTGTGCTAGAGCTTCCGTCAAGGTCCTTAGGCACATTGGGGCGATATTCCCGAGAAGATCATGTGTGTTTGCGACGACCTAACAAACATGAGCCATCGGTGAGTGCCGGGTCGTGGCTCCGACTAGCTCCGATGTGGAAGCTCGTCTGCTCCAGATGCGCGTGTCTCCGTTCAGACCATCATTTAGACTGGGTGGCAAAAGGGACGATGTGGTACAGTGAGGGCATCGAGATCGTGTGTGGTCGTAGGCAAGACATACGTGCATGTGCCTGACACGGCGATTCGGCGAACCACCTGATGGAAGGTTGCAGGCTTCTGTCGCAGTCATCGAACGCCGTCCGCCATGTCAGAAGCCCAATTGGCAAGAGTCACTCGGCCGCGTACCAGCCAACAGTGCGTCTCGCCCACCAACCGAGTCTGAGCTAAGATCGAACGCAGCTGTCAGAGCTGCTGCGAGGTCACACAGCGTTGCAGTCAAACTGCAGAGGGCAAAGAGACTGTGTCTTGTCGAATTTCCGATGCGCGTGAATTGTCTCAGGATTCCAGCCAGTTTCTTGGGCCAACTCGCTCGACTTCTGCGGGCTTCCACGCCATGCCGTGTGCCTCTTTAGAAATTCGCTAAGCAGGCGGCCTCGAAGCCCGGTTTGGAAAGCCGTCTCTGTTGATTGGGCACGCCACCGACCTGCAACCGCGCACCGACCATCCAGCTCGCTCTCTCTTCTCATAGTTTTCTGAAGCGAGAGACTGGCTGGCAAGCTGCCCGCCAGCCGCACCTCTTGCTTCTCGCCGGCTCAGCCGATTGCCGCTGAGTTGCTCATTCTATCAATCTCACTTGCAGCCTCTGCTTTTTCGCCACTTTCCCCGCAACATCAGCGCCTCTGTGTCTGACTGTGCCAGAGACAATATATACTTGGCATCTTCGACCCTGATGCTCCACTTTGCCTCTACGCACACATCAGTCATCTTCGACGCCACACCTTCATCACCGTCACATCTTTATTTCGTCTCGCGTAGCGATCTTCCATCCTCGTCTACGCCTGTCATCAGTCATCCATCTTCCACATCGAACCCTTCCCTCGCATTTCAAGCCACATCAAACAGATTGCAAAAATGGGAGAGTGCCCAGTTGCTCACCACACCAACATCGACCGCAAGCGCGTACCCGCTGCCGGTTTCGGTCAGAAGAACTCGGATTGGTGGCCCAACGCCGTCAAGCTCAACGTCCTCCGACAGCACCAGGCCAAGTCGGATCCCTTCAACGCCGATTTCGACTACGCAGCCGCCTTCAACAGCCTCGACTACGATGCGCTCAAGAAGGATCTCACAACCCTCATGACCGACTCCCAGGACTGGTGGCCTGCGGATTTCGGTCACTACGGTGGCTTCTTCATCCGTATGTCGTGGCACGCCGCCGGTACCTACCGTGTCCAGGATGGTCGCGGTGGAGGAGGAGAGGGGCAGCAGCGATTCGCTCCCCTCAACTCGTGGCCAGACAACGGTAACCTCGACAAGGCTCGTCGTCTCTTGTGGCCCATCAAGCAGAAGTACGGCAACAAGATCTCGTGGGCCGATCTCTTGCTCTTGACCGGCAACGTCGCCCTCGAGTCGATGGGCTTCAAGACCTTCGGTTTCGCCGGTGGTCGTGCCGACACCTGGGAGGCTGACCAGTCCACCTACTGGGGTGGTGAGACCACTTGGCTCGCAAACGATGTTCGTTACGAGGAGGGCACCAAGAACGGCGGTGACATCAACGACCTCAAGAACCGCAACCTTGACAACTCGCTCGCCGCTTCGCACATGGGTCTCATCTATGTCAACCCCGAGGGTCCCAACGGCGAGCCTGACCCGGTTGCCGCTGCCAACGACATCCGAACCACCTTCGGCCGCATGGCCATGAATGACGAGGAGACCGTTGCTCTCATTGCTGGTGGTCACACCTTCGGTAAGACTCACGGTGCCGGTAACCCCGACCTTGTCGGCCCCGAGCCCAACGGTGCCCCCATCGAGGCACAAGGTTTCGGTTGGGCCAGCAAGCATGGCTCCGGTAAGGCTGGTGACGCCATCACCTCCGGTACCGAGGTCATCTGGACCAGCAAGCCCACCGAGTGGACCAACCTCTACCTCAAGTACCTCTTTGAGTTCGAGTGGGAGCACGACAAGTCGCCTGCTGGCGCCAACCAGTTCGTCGCTAAGACCGACGCCATCATTCCAGACCCCTTCGACCCTACCAAGAAGCGTCGCCCCACCATGCTTACTACCGATCTGTCTCTGCGCTACGATCCCGAGTACGAGAAGATTTCACGTCGCTTCCTCGAGAACCACGACCAGTTCGCCGACGCCTTTGCCCGCGCTTGGTTCAAGCTGCTCCACCGTGACATGGGTCCTCGCGCCCGCTGGCTGGGTCCTGAGGTCCCCAAGGAGGTACTCATCTGGGAGGACCCCGTCCCTGAGGTCGACCACGCTCTCGTTGATGACCGTGACCTCGCTGGCTTGAAGCAGGCCATCTTCGCCACAGGTGTCGAGCCCTCCAAGTTCCTCGCCACCGCCTGGGCTTCGGCTGCCAGCTACCGTGACAGCGACAAGCGCGGTGGTGCCAACGGCGCCCGCATCCGCCTTGCACCCATGAAGGACTGGGAGGTCAACAACCCCACCCAGCTCGCCGAGGTCATCAAGGCGCTCGAGGGTGTTCAGCAGCAGTTCAACTCGAGCCAGGGTGGCAAGAAGATCTCGATTGCCGACTTAATTGTTCTCGCCGGTAATGCTGCTCTCGAGAAGGCTTCCGGTCTCCCCGTTCCCTTCACCCCCGGCCGTACCGACGCCAGCCAGGAGCAGACCGAGGTCGACACCTTCGAGTTCCTCAAGCCTGTCGCCGACGGTTTCCGCAGCTACGGCCAGTCCACCGACCGTGTTCGCGCCGAGCAGATCCTCATTGACCGTGCCAACCTCCTCACCCTCAGCCCTCCCGAGCTCACTGTTCTCATCGGTGGTCTCCGTGCCCTCGGTCTCAACTACGATGGCTCTGCACACGGTGTCCTCACCCACCGACGCGGCCAGCTCACCAACGACTTCTTCGTCAACCTGCTCGACATGAGCACCGAGTGGAAGGCTGCCGACAACGGCAAGGGTGAGGTCTTCGACGGCGTCGACCGTCACTCTGGCCAGAAGAAGTGGTCTGCCACCCGTGCCGATCTCGTCTTCGGTTCGCAGGCTGAGCTCCGCGCTCTTGCCGAGATCTACGCTCAGGCCGACAACGCCGAGAAGTTCAACAAGGACTTTGTTGTTGCATGGAACAAGGTCATGAACCTCGACCGCTTCGACGTCAAGAAGAGCAACATCGCTCGTGCCAAGTTCTAATCTCGTCCTTTTCGATTCCTCATGTAGTTTCCACGATTCCCACGACCCTTTATGGAATGCTAAGCCAGTCACTCATACATTTTCAAACTCGTCGCGCTGTTTGCCCCGGTCTGAGCTCACGAGCGATCGTGTGAATGATCGACGTCCTTCGAGCATCAAGGTATAGATGACCGATATTGGACACGTTGCATACGATAATTTGCGCTTCCATTCCATGATGACGAAGATAATAATAGAAACGTCAAGGACGTCACTTCGACGGCGAGTCTACGAAGCATAGGCGGCATGCACCTGAGGCTCGAGCTGCGCCAAGATGCCGAGCGTGCCCATGTCCAAGAAGGGTCCGATCTGGGATTGCACCATGCCGCACGTGCCGTCCTTAAAGTCAGCCCACCAGTAGCTGTTTTGGATGCCGCACCAGAAGAGCGACTTGTCGCTGCGCTTGAACATGGGATGTTCGACGAGCAGCCGCAATCCGCCAAGCGCCCACGTCTTGGGGATGCCCTTGACGGTGCAACCCTCAAAGTAGTTGGTGATCGTGGGATCGGTGTTAGGGAACTCTCGGTCGATGTCGCCGGCCAATTTGCCATCGAGCTGTTCCTTGACAAGCTCATCGACGCTTTCAGGCTTGAGGATCTGACCGCCACTTTTTGGATGCGTTCCGCCGTTGAGCAGCGCCACCAGCACCTGGCAGTACTCGGCGGCATTGGCCCACAGTCCGGCGCCTCCGTAGTGAACTTCGATCTTGGACTCGTCCGGCTGCATCCAGTGCTCGTTGGCAGAGATGATGCCTTCCGGGTTTCTGTAGTGCGACCCCACGAGCTTGTCCGAGAGACCCGCCTGCTTGGGCAGGAAGCTGGCGTGCTTTATGCCGAGCGGTTTGAAGATGTTCTCTTGGAAGTAGTCGTTGAGTGAAAGACCAGAAATTTTCTCAACCACTTGACCGGCCCAGTCGATACCTACACCGTACTCCCACTCGGAGCCAGGCTCGGTCACGTAAGGGCCTTGAATGCTCTGCTTAGATGCATCAAAGCTATGGATCACCTTCCTGCCCTTCTTGGCCTCAATGTCCTTGAGTTTGGGGTTGAAGAACGAATAGCCGAGACCGCAAGTGTGAGTGAGGCAGTTCCAGACCGTCGGCACCTGCTTGGGCCTGGAGCCGTCGATCATCGTGACGCTCTCGAACTCGGGAACGTGGTTTGTGACAGGGTCCTGAAGATCCAGTTTGCCCTGCTCAACAAGCTGGAGACAGGCTATGGCGGTGATGAGTTTGGTGCAGCTGGCTACCCAGAAGATGGAATCTTTGGTCATCGGGTCCGGCTTGCCAGCTTGCTTGACACCGGCCGAAGCCCAGGCTACCTCCTTGCCCGTCTTGTCGGCAATATACACGACGGCACCGGGAACGCCGTTCGGCTGCGTGACGTCGGCAGTAGCGGCATCGAGCACCTTTTGGGCTGTGTCTTGCATCGACATGGCGGGCTTGTTGTTTTCAATCTGGCTCGATGGGCGATGGATTTCAGGGGCGATGATTTGGAGCGGGAACGAGCTGTTCTTATATCAACCGGGACCGGACTTACTTGCTGTCATATGCAGGCTATTCGGGTACTTGAGGCAAACGTTGGCATGCTGGCCCAAGATCCCATATCCCCGCAGTTGTCGAAGCTGGCCGACAAGGCGTTTCGCAGGGTCTCATGACCGTCTCTTGGTCCAGCAGCCACCGCGGCGTGTACGGGCAGGGTCTGAGCACTGTCGCATGCAGTGCTTACCGATGCGTTAGCGGGTCAGCTCGCCGCGGACTTGGCTTTCCCCACATTTTGCCTTGCTACACTGAATCGGGGCAACAACGCTAGACTGCCGCAGTGGGCAAAGGGACGTGCAACACAGGTCACGGTCAACGCTTGCCGAACTGGACGGGTCTCTTGAACGCGCTTAAAAACGACGGGAAGTGGATTCGGGAGCTCAAAGGCACGAGGCACGCCAGGCCACCATCGCGCAAATCGCTCAAAATTCACAGACCAGTCACTCTCTCGTGACTTAAGCTCCTTCCTCACAGGTCCAATCCGCAGGCACGACACTGCCTTTGGGCTGGCTCCTTGATCACACGATAGAGAGTTACATCGTCTGATTGCTCGCAGCAAAGACAGAAGGTGAAGGAGTCGACTTCTTTAACCTTCTGTGAAGAAAGACCTTGTACATTGCTAGCAAGCGAACACGTCCCTGGCGAGTCCTATGCGAGAAATGAAAACACCGACAGTCTTTGCCGTCTCCCAGTCCCAGCAATCTGCACTTAGTTTACATCCGCACGCATAAGGCTTACCTAGTCCACATCGTCTGACCTCGAGTGAGTCGTTCTCAGAAGTTCCGTGGGACTTGCTAAGCACAAATGAATGAGCAACAGGCATCGTCCAGAAGGAACAAGGAGCCAAATGGTTGCCTCTGGCACCTTGGCGGGCAATATCGGTCCCAATCCCATCAACGTGGTCATGGCTTGTCTACAAGTAGGTATGCTTGAGCTAGAGCGCTATTGTCGTCAGACCTGTCTTTGATCTCTTCCTCGACCAACATTTTCTGGCTACTGATGTGCTGGTAGGTCGACGCTGGACCTCGACCATATCTGCCTTGGCCGACCAGGTACTCTCGCACCCTTCCAGTGTTGATTTGTAATGTGATTGCCGACGATCCAGGCTTCGACAGAACAGTGGTCATTTTGCGGAGGAATCGGGAGTACTGTTCTGATTCCCGACTGATACAGACGAGACGGCCTTTGTAGGTGGGGGCGAGTGCTAGCCGACGGTGCGGAATGCGAACATCGTCGCGTGAACGCCGAAGCGGTTCACCCTGTTCATTGCGAGTTACCACCAGGAACCTAGCGCCCTGAAAGTACCAGTTGCACAACGCTTTCGAGCTCAAATATGGGAAGCGGTAACCAAGCAGACGGAATTCGAATTGGCCGTCAGCCGGTCTGATGCCGCTGACTTCCTGCTCTTTGGCTTTCAACGCGTCCGGCTAAGATCCCAATTCCGCATACGGTCGGGTCATGCACCATCCATCACTCTCATAATTTGGTGACCGCTTTCGCAACAAAAAGCGGCCACATGATGGCAAAGACGTCCGATTCGCATACCATCATCATTCCATCCGCGAACAAACACCAAACGCAATTTACAGGCGAACTTGTCCTACATCGCCTTCTGGCATCAGCCTTGAATCCGTCCGCAACCTCCACCATCCATCCAAGTCTTGCTTAACAATGACGGTCGACTTGACCCTCCCCAGCGGTGAATTCTACAATCGCGAAGACACCACCTTTGCCTCGGGCTCCGAACGCTGTGCTGCCTGGGTGTATCGACCAACAGGTCCTCCCCTCAAACCCGCCGACGGATCGGCGTCAAATGGCAAATATCCTGCCATCGTTGTTGGTCACGGCATCGGCGGCATCCGCGAATACGGGTTGGATCGCTACTGCGCCCGCTTCTCAGAGCTCGGCATCATCTGCGTCGCCTTCGATTACCGTCACTTTGGTGCCAGCACAGGCGAGCCTCGTCAGCTCCTCGATATCGGCTTGCAGCAGCAGGATTGGAAGAATGCCATCGCTTTCGTAAAAGGTCTCGAGGATGTCGACGAGTCGAGAGTCGGCATCTTTGGCAGCAGCTTCGGAGGCGGCCACGTAACGTACATCGGCAGCGTCGACCCCAGCATCAAGGCCATCATTGCACAATGCCCCTTCACATCCGGTTTCCACTCGAGTCTCACGGTCGGTTTCCTTCCGCTCTTCAAGCTCGCCTTCTTAGGCATCCGCGATCTCTTCTCGAGAGGCAAGAACATCGTCCCTGTGTTGCTGGCAGGCGAGCCTGGTCAAGGTAAGCCCTCTTCATCCCCGCGTGCTATTGTTCGATCGGCATTTGAAGCTCACACTCTTTGTTTTCCCCCTTTATCTTTTTGTTCCCCCAATCTGTCACAGCCGCTCTGATGAACTCGCCCGAAGCCATGGACTACAAGCTGATCGTTCCAGAGCATTTGCAGGACGGCCCCAACTACGTCGCCGCGCGCTTCGCTCTCAAAATCTCGTTCTACAACCCCGGCTGGAGAACCTCGTCCATCAAAAGTCCAATCTTGTTTGGCGTCTGCGGCAAGGACTCGGTTGCTCCGCCCGGGCCAACGCTCAAGTATGCTGCAAAGGCAAAGGATGCCACGATTAAACTCTATAAGGACATGGGCCACTTTGACATTTACGTCGGCCCCCAATTTGATGAGGCGACAAAGGACTACTGTACTTTCCTCCGCAGCAAACTGTAATGGCCTACCACGCTCGCTTTTGTTCTCACCGCATTCTTAGAAGCTATTCATCGTCATGTCCTCGATCGTCATTGCAGCTCCGTTAATCATGCATCGAATCATCTCCGTACCGCCGTGCTGGCGTCTGTGATCTTACTCTTTAGTGGCACGAGTGCATTGTGTCTCCGCTCAGGCTGCACTGAGCAGACCCGTCTCGACGCAGCCAACGAGGTTCTGGGTTTAAGTATATGCGAATGTGCACGGTCATCGGACAGGTGTATCCATTTCGCCGCTTCAGCATACGTATGACCTTGTTTGATACTCAATCATAGTAAACAAGGGGTAGTCATGGGGTCGTCTTTCAGCGACAGTGCACACGGGGCCTTCAGTCGGGCAATATATTGATGGAGCCTCCAAAACCCTCAGCTCTGTGTAAGTTTGACAAGCAATGTCAACTCTTTCATGACCGATGAATGGGCTGAGTTGTCTGACAAGTTGGTTAGGTGGTTGGCATGCGCAGTCGAAGACTCTCAGGGTTAGGGTTAGGGTTAGGGTTAGGGTTAGGGTTAGGGTTAGGGTTAGGGTTAGGG